CATGGGAGCAGGGGCAGGGGCAGGGGAGTTCTGAGCTCCCTTGAGAGGGTCCAGGAATTAACCAGGGGGACCCTCTGAAGTGAGACTGAACTCCGCTTCCACACAGGACAATGACATTTGGGTTAAGCACATGCTAGCAAACATAGCACACAACAGCCACCCCACTCCGTTCAAAGGCCCTTAGACGATTCTGCAAGAAATCCAAGTCGCATTCATTGTTTTAGGGTCTTGCCATAATTTTTAAAAAACATATTCAAAATCTGAGTTCCTGCAATGGTGGTACATGTTAAATGGTCAATCCTGCGAGGGTGTTTTTGGATTCCATAATTTCACCTGGTGCCAATGAAAATGCCTATATCCGAGGCCCAGTTATATCTAACGTCCAGGTCCAAAGGTCTGCCGGGGAGAAAAACATTATAGACTAGAAGGTTAGATTCCAAAACGTGACCATACGGTCTTTTCTCCAGCTAGCATTAGGGATTTGTTAGTTATTTATGGTTAATAAGTTTTATTTTGTGCAAGCAAATAATGAATATTTAAAATAAACGAAGGTGGCTGGGCAGGATGATTCCCACCTGTAATCCCAGCACTTTGGGAGGCTGAGATAGGAGGATCACCTGAGGTCAGGAGTTTGAGACCAGCCCAGCCAACATGGCGAAACCCTGTCTCTACCAAAAATACAAAAATTAGCTGGGTGTGGTGGTGGGTGCCTGTAGTCCCAGCTACTTGGGAGGCTGAGGCAGGAGAATCGCTTGAACCAGGGAGGTGGAGGTTGCAGTAAGCCAAGATAAGACGGCACCACAGCACTCCAGCCTGGATGACAGAGCTAGACTCTGTTGTTCCCCCCTCCCCCGCAAAAAAAAATGGTGGCCAGGTAGCAGGTGGCTCATGCCTGGAATCTCAGCACTTTGGAAGGCTGAGGTGAGAGGATCACTTGAGCACATAGTTTGAGACCACCCTGGTCAACATGGTGAAACCCCGCCTCTACTAAAAATACAAAAAATTAGCTGGGCATGGTGACACACACCTATAGTCGCAGCTACTCAGGAGGCTGAAGTGGGAGAATCGCTTGAGCCCAAGAGGCAGAGGTTTCAGTGAGCCAAGATGGTGCCACTGCTCTCCACTCCAGCCTGGATGACAAGAGTGAGATTCTATCTAAAAAAAAAAAAAAAAGGTTAAAAAATAAAATAAGGCTGGGTACAGTGGCTCACACCTGTAATTCCAGCACTTTGGGAGGCCAAGGAGGACAGATCATGAGGTCAGGAGATCAAGACCAGCCTGGCCAACATGGTTCAACCCCGTCTGTACTAAAAATACAAAAATTAGCTGGGCGTGATGGCACGTGACTGTAGTCCCAGCTACTCAGGTGGCTGATGCAGGAGAATTGCTTGAACCCAGGAGGTTGCAGTGAACCAAGACTACACCACTGCACTCTAGCCTGGCGACAGAGTGAGACTCGGTCTCAAAATAAAAAATAAAATAAATGTGCCTGGTCCCTTTAAAAATATCAAAGGTTTGCCGGCCCTGCCACCCGAACCCAGTGAGGGGCCCTGCAAGGGATCCCCCAGTCCTGAAGGGGCTGAGGAGAGTAGCCCAGGAGGCCAGATAGCCAGGCGGGAGGTCCCGCAGCTGTGCTCTGGGCTGGTGCTCCTGCGCGGAGGCGGCTTTTGAGGCCCCATCTCCTTCTGGCTGTTTCTGAAGAGCGCTGTCCTGCCTCCTCCCCTCAACTGTGCGGGCCCCTCCCTGCCTTCTCTGTGTCCCTGGGCCTATCAGAGAGTAGGTAGGGCTGAGGATTCGCCCCCACAGAGGGTTCTGGGACCCTGGTCACTGCCTTTTTTTTTCTGATGCTAATTTGTTCAACATAAACATTTAAAGTCTTATAATTTTTAAAAACTGCCTTTTTTTTCTGATGCTACTTTGTTCAACATAAACATTTAAAGTCTGTAATTTTTAAAAACTTTGTCTTAGCATTACTTTACTTTTTAGCATATGAGGAGCCTCCAGAAGTAGAAAGGGGTGCTCTTGGGACCCTCCGTGAGACCCTGCGACCCTCAAGGAGAGTGACAGTGACCGGGGTCCCTGCCACATCTGGGGATGGCTCTACCCAGCCGTTTGGGTTAATGCACAGTGGACTTGACTGCCTATGGGCCTTGGGCGCGTTACTGAACCCCCTCTGTGCATTTGCTCATCTGTAAAATGGGGATGAGGATACACCCGCCTCGTAGGGTTGAGTGGTTACGAGCGTTGCAACCGCACCTGGTACGAGGTGAGGGCTACGTCAGCGTTTGCTGTGCTTTTTCAATCAAGGTCTGGCTTTCCAAGTGGGCTGTGGGCCCAGGAGGGCAGGGGCGGCTGTCACTGCCGGGTTCGCCCGGGGCCTGCACGTGGCGGGCGGCAGTGTTTACGGACAGCACCTGCGGCCGGGGCCGGGTGATGGGCAGGCTCCGCAGCCCCCACGCCCGCCGGAGAGGCCGGGGCTGGCAGGGCGGCAGCCCGGGGAAGCGAGCGGCGCGTCGAGGCTCACCGGTCTCCACCTCCACCTCCTCCGGCACCACGGTGCGGTAGAACAGGAGCGCCGACGAGCCCTCCTCCTCGCTCGCCTGGTTGAGGAAGTGCAGGATGACATCCTCGCCCTGGCCGTCGTCGCGGTTGAGCAGGTCCTCGAAGAGCTGGGGGTCTGTGATGCCGAAAGCCGCGTACAGGCGGTCGCGCATCCACAGCACCCGCAGGTCGTCCATGGCGCCGCGCAGGGCACAGGGAGCCGGGCGCAGGGCGGGCGTCCGTAGCAACGTTGGCCCTAGCAACGGACTTCCGGGCAACGGCCATCGCCCGCCCCGCCGACGGCGCCGGCGCGGGGGCTGCAAGAACGACAGTGACCGGCGCCCGGCACCTGCGCGCCCGGGACCCGCCAGCACCCCAGCCCCGAGGTCTCGGAGGAGCGCACCAGGTCCCCGGGCCGCCGAGGTGGGCCGGTCCCTGGTCCCCGCAGCGCGCATGCCCCTGGATGCGGAGCGGGACCCTCGCCGCCAGGAGCCGCCCTCAGGCCGCTACAGCCCAGGGTGAGACCCCAACTCACCCGGACCGGATCTGCAAAGCAGCCCGCCCACCTTGCAGAAGTTGGGGCTGGTGGCAAGGCGAGCTCACAGCACCTCGGCGTGGCAGAGGCAGGGTTAGAGGCCAGGGAGGATACAGCCTCAGCCCTCAGCCCTCAGCCACGTGGGTCAAAGGCCAGGGGCGGAGAAATTAGCCAAGAAGGCACGAGTTCCTCGTTGCCTACGACATCAGGGAGGAAGGAGTGGAGTTCTTTGGCTTTCTCGCCAAGCCAGAGCATAATAAAGCGAAACACCCACGTTTAAAAATATAGATATATTTATTTGTCATTAGCAAAAGGAAGTTCAATACTGATAGAAGATGCAAATTTGTCCTTTCATGCATTTGCGGAGCAAAATACTAACTTGTTCACTGTCATTTCCCCTCACAAGGAGTTGAGTCCCTAGATGACCAGGCTAACCCTTGGATTTTCCCACCAAAGAACAGGTGGAATGCATTAAGTAAGTATTTCTTAAAATTCTTTTTTTTTTTTTTTGAGGAGGAGTTTCGCTCTTGTTACCCAGGCTGGAGTGCAATGGCGCGATCTCGGCTCACCGCAACCTCCGCCTCCTGGGTTCAGGCAATTCTCCTGCCTCAGCCTCCTAAGTAGCTGGGATTACAGGCACGTGCCACCATGCCCAGCTAATTTTTTGTATTTTTAGTAGAGACGGGGTTTCATCATGTTGACCAGGATGGTCTCGATCTCTTGACCTCGTGATCCACCCGCCTCGGCCTCCCAAAGTGCTGGGATTACAGGCTTGAGCCACCACGCCCGGCCTATTTCTTAAAATTCTAAACCAAAGATCAGCATCAATGGCCTGACTGTAGGAAGACTGTTGGTCCAAACGGCCTCATTTCCAACATCTTGATTTCAGAGTTCATCATAGCCTTCCTGAGATAGCCCTGTGGCATACAGGCAAACCTGCCTTTACATTTTTAATAGAGGAATTTACTGTTTTTAAATGCAGACTGCAGAATTGTAAAAGTTGTTTTTTTGCTTTTCTTTTCTAAAATGCATCAGGCTCTAAAACACCTGAATATGTAATCCATGAACATTGTTTTTGGGTTTTTGAGAGTTTTGCTCTTGTTGCCCAGTCTGGAGTGCAATGGCGCGATTCTCGGCTCACCACAACCTACACCTCCAGGGTTCGAGCGATACTCTTGCCTCTGCCTCCCAGTAGCTGGGATTATAGGTATGTGCCATCACGCCTGGCTAATTTTGTATTTTTAGTAGAGACAGTGTTTCTCCATGTTGGTCAGTCTGGTCTTGAACTCCTGACCTCAGGTGATCCACCCGCTTCGGCCTCCCAAAGTGCTGGGATTACAGGTGTGAGCCACCACGCCCAGCCTAATTCATGAACATTGTAAGGGTATTCTATGCCTTATTAAACAACTGCAGAGGGCTGGGCATGGTGGCTCACACCTGTAATCCCAGCACTTTGGGAGGCCGAAGCAGGTGGATCACCTGAGGTCAGGAGTTTGAGACCAGCCTGGCCAACATGGTGAAACCCCGTTTTTACTAAAAAATACAAAAATTAGCTAGGTGTGATGGCAGCGCCTATAATCCCAGCTACTCAAGAGGCGGAAGCAGCAGAACTGCTTAAGCCCTGGAGGCTGAGGTTGCAGTGAGCCGAGATCATACCACTGCACTCCAGCCTGGGTGACAGAGTGAGACTCCATCTCAAAAAAATAAAGATAAAATTTTAAAATAAACAACTGCAGAGGAGATACTGACACCAGATATTGTTATAAAATACCCATTCCAGAAACAAGAACAGAGCAGCCTTCAGTGCAAGAGGAGTTCCAAGTCCTTTAGCTGCTGGAAAGTCCACAGGGCTCACCCAGATCCAATCAGACAGAACACCCTTTGCACTCCTTAACTGACCCCCGCAATTGCAGTCTCCACCCAGCAGGTTGAAATCAAATTCTATTTAGAAGAAATCCCTTGGGTATTTATTTTAGGATTCTGTTAACACATGGTAATAAACATCTCAATGAAAACGGAAAAATGTGGCTGTCGTGACATTTATCTTTAGGAAAATAAACATATTCAGCATCATCCACACAACCTGCCATCTTTCCTCTGGATTTCTGCTTTCAAGGAATGAAGTATGTTTTAAAAACTAGACACATAATAGGTTCTAGCAAAAGGCTGAAAAACAAGCAAAACTGAGCAACAACTCTGGTAACATGACACTGGAGCCCATGGCTTTAGAGAAAAAAAAAAAACAAAAACAAAAAACAGGAATTGCCCTGGCACCTATAAACACCATTAGCAAACTACCTTTCCAGGAAGTGAGGATTCTGAATTGTTTTTCACATAATGACATTCTACATAACTACTACGGAGATTTCAACAGAGAAATTATTGCATCCTCTGCTCTATGGCCTAAGAAGAGGTGTGAATTAGAAAGAGTTAAAAAGTGGCCCCGTGAGAATTACAGTAGGGAGCAGTAAACAACGCCAGCAAACATCTCTTATTTACCAATCAGTTAACAGTGCCCTGAAGTCTTGGGCTTCGAGGGATGAAGTGGTTACTGTTGTTTTTATGACAGATCCTTGGAGCAAGGTTAACAACACAAATGACCCCTAGTGGAAGCATGGATCTAGGTGAAAGCCGCTGAAACCTGACCAGCACTTCTGGGATGTCACAGTCACCCAACAAGAGTGCCCGACATGACACCTTTCTAGAGAAGTATCACTTTGAGAGCAGAATTATTTTCAAGTGTTTTGTCAGCATTATTTGATAATTTGAGAGACAAAAAGCAGTAAACCCAAGCTGGCCTTGGGTGACATCTCATCAAGCAGCACACAGAATGTGTACTGTAATTGAAAGGGTTTAATTTGAAGAGTCACAGCTATGTCAACGCTGTTCTGCTCATGCCTTGAAGTCACCTGCACAGCTACGTTGAACTCAGCACTCCAGGATCTCAGCTTGTGACATAAGTTACAAGCTCTCCCCCTCGAAACAGGATAAAGGAGGATAGGGACAAATAGCCTTTTAATGCGTATTAATCACAATGTTAAAAAGGTGGAAAAAAAAGTCAGATTTCTGAAAATAATTGTCTAAAACTAAAATATAAAAAATTAACATGATTTGCAAGAATATAGATCAGAATGTTCAATAGGACTGACTCAAGTTCACAAAAAACTAAATGTCAAGTGAATAGATGAATTTAAACTAAAGATTATAAAATAGTGGCTATCAAGAATTAGTTTTCAACTGATCTAAACAATTTGGAAGTTTAAATTAACTCTAAATACTTTTATCAGACCTTTAACTAGAAATAGTCTGAAAGTAAAAAAACTATCATTAGACTGTTCTCAAGGATAAGTGTAATCTCTTCATGATAAAATATCATCATTTATATTTTGTTATAAAAATATACAAAATACTACTTTTTCCCTTACCTTCACTCACTATAAAGCGTTTTGGTTCAGTGAAATCAGCCAAGCTGTCACTAAATTCAAATCATGTCCACATTATACCTTCTAGAGTCACACTGGGTTTTAAGGCCCAGTATACAATTTACCTTTCCAAGCATACAATTATCATAACTGGTTTTATGTAAGGATAACAGGATAAGAGTCTTTAAAAAAATATACAAGTGGGATAACCATTTGTTGTATGTTATTTTATCCCATTGTCCCCAATTACTAAAACAAGACAAAACTGTAAAAACAATCCTCTACTTATAATTCTAGGTAGCACAGGATAAAAAATGTTTGCATATTTTTGGCCAGGAACAGTAGCTCACGCCTGTAATCCCAGTACTTTGAGAGGCCGAGGCGGGTGGATCACTTGAGGTCAGGAATTTGACACCAGCCTTGCCAACACGGTGAAACCCCATCTCTATAAAAAAACAAATAAATTAGCCTGTCATGGTAGTGGGCGTCTGTAATCCCAGCTACTCTCGAGGCTGAGGCAGGAGAATCGCTTGAACCCAGGAGGTAGAGGTTGCAGTGAGCTGAGGTTGTGCCACTGCACTCCAGCCTGGGCAACAGAGCAAGACTTCATCTCAAAAAAACACAAAACTTTGCATATCTTTTAATCAAGCAGAATACATGTGAATGTTTTGATTACCCATCATTAAATTTTTTTTAAAACTATCCATATTTCAACTGTTGGAAAGTATCATCTGACAATCTCAGGTGACAGATTAACTGTTTTTTTAAAAAATAAAGTTTTAAGGAATCAAGTGTCTAATACCATTTTCAATTAGTCATTCAAAATTGGTTTCTCTCTCCCAATCCTGTATTTGAAAAAATACCTTTAACATAACATTTGGCATTAACTTATATTTGCTCATCATAAAAAAAAAAAAACAAAAGAAATTTTTATATCTCAAATTGATAAACTTTAGAAAATATTTAACATATGAGGAAGAGGTATATCTTACAGAATTATTTGGCTATGTCATAAGGCAGTCAATGAAGATGGAATTTTTCCTATCATAAATCTGACATAAGTGAAATTCTATAACATGATAATTCTCCACACATGGGAGGGCTTGTTGGTTACAGCAAGATGATCATGCCACACTGTCGTCGTTACTGAACTTCGATGAAAGTAGACTGAATGAGAAAGGAACAAATTTGGTGCCTGCACCAACGTAGAATTTGTTCTGAAATTCTACCCTAAAAAAAAAAGAAGGATGTATTAATGGAAGATGATGAAATCATATTTCTTAAAACAACTATTTATAAGTTTAAAAAATAAATTCCTGTGCTGAAATTGCTTCATTCCAAAACATGTTCTTGGCACAAATATTTTTACTTAGCTCAACACCACTCGCCACCCCTAACCCTGTGCTAGCTTTCCCAGTGTGAACAGCAACTCTGATGCATCCGCTGCCTCTCATTGTCCAACACACAAAAGCACATGCACAAGCAACGAGAACTTCTCCTGCCAGGGGTCACTGGAGGCACAGAGCAGTAATCTGACCTATACCTTAAAAGATTAAGAAATACGTAAGCATTTATTTTGCAATAAGATAGAGCAACCTGTGAGATCCAAAGTGAATTAGGAGTATGAAACATACATCAGTATTCTGTAAACTTAAATTTGCTTTTACTTGTCAGTGATAATAGTTCAGAAACAAAATACAGGTTTTTTGTTGTTTCTCTTTTTGAGACAGAGTTTCAGTCTTGTCGCCCAGGCTGTGGTACAATGGCATGATCTCGGCTCACTTCAACCTCTGCCACCCGGTTCAAGTGATTCTCCTGCCTCAGTGTCCCAAGTAGCTGGGATTATAGGTGCCTGCCACCGTGCTCAGCTAATTTTTGTATTATTAGTAGACACAGGGTTTCATCATGTTCTCCAGGCTGGTCTCAAACTCTTGACCTTAGGTAATCCACCTGCCTCAGCCTCCCAAAGTGTTGTCATTACAGGTATGAGCCACTGTGCCCAGCCACCACACCCAGCCTAAAACACAGTTTTAACTCAGAAGATATGAACACAGATCCCAATGGCAGGAAGGGTAGAACTAGCCTAAATTCAGCATTAGATTTTGCAGGGGCTGTGTATATTTGGTTGGGCAGGGTGGGGGGGCAGCGGTATGATTTTTAGTAACAGTTCCAAGGCTAAGTTTCAAACTTACCAGTGGAGGCGTATGGCGTGAAGAAACGCAGAAAGCCCTTCCATGATCAGAAGGATGAAAATGGTTAAAACCGCAAAAAGCGCGATAACCGGGAGCAGCAGCAAGACGCCATAGGTGGTGTCAACACGGAGGCCCACGCGCATCAGCATGGCCCACAGGACATCGGACAGCTCTGCAAAGGAGTGCAGACTGCACAGTCACGCTAGCTTACGTTCAGTGAGTCACTCTGTGAGCTACCAGGTCTGAGTTTCCCTCTGGCAGCTCTGAACCATTATCCCATAAAATAATAGACACACATGTAACACAGACGCAACTGCTTGTGTGAAAGGCAGTCAGCTCCAAGACCATCTCAGACACTAAGGAAGACCTGGCACTCCAAAACCAGCAGAGGCCATCTCCCAAAGGAGGTCTTGCCCCAGACTAGGTTTGGGTTAGTGACCTCCCAAAGCGGCACCGGACCAGGCAGCCAGAAACAGCCTCCCAGGCCTGGTTCTGCCACCGAGGGACCAACTGGATGAGCGTGCGTAAAGCATTGACTCTCAATGGGCTTCAGTCACTGCCTCTTCAAAATGGACAGGAACGACCACAGGGCCCCTCCAGCCATGAAATTCCAGACCTTTGGCTATGCTTATAAAAACATAAGCATTTTGTTTATTTATTATTTTTTTAAAAGAAAAAGGCACTCTCTCATCCAGTGGTTTCCACAAACACAGGCAGTGCCTGCTTTGCACAATAGTGCAGAAGCACAAAAACGACCTTGCCATCAAAACCTTTCAAAGCATCCTGACTAACCCATAGGAAAACGGGTTTCTTCTGTGGCCTTTACATTTTTTGTTAAAACATTACAAACTCCCCTATTGTTGGCCAACAATATAGCCAACAATAAAAGAGCTTTTAATGTTTTAACAAAAAATGTAGGGAAATGAAAAAATGATAAATCTTGTCTTTAACATGTTAAAAGCATTGAGTATAAAAGTCTCTTCTTTGTATTAAAAAAAACAACAGCTTATTAGGGTAGTTTGAGCAGTGCTTGCTTCCTGTTGCATAACTGGACAAGCTGGGTGACCTGATCCGGAGCAAGCAACTTAATACTTGCCAAATTGTCCTTTTTTTTTTTTGAGACAGAGTCTTGCTCTGTCACCCAGGCTGGAGTGCAGCGGCGCAATCTTGGCTCACTGCAACCTCCACTTCCTGAGTTCAAGCAATTCTCCTGCCTCAGCCTCCCGAGTAGCTGGGATTACAAGTGCCTGCCACCATGCCCAGCTAATTTTTCTATTTTTAGTAGAGATGGGTTTTGCCATGTTGGCCAGGGTGGTCTTGAACTCCTGACCTCAAGTGATCCACCTGCCTCAGCCTCCCAAAGTGCTGGGATTACAGGCATGAGCCACTGTGCCCGGCCTGTCCTATTCTTTTCTAAGTTTGAACCTACTTCCAACATTGCACCCTTTGCACGTTCAGTGTCCTGTAACATCTCCAAACACCACTTGTGGGTCACTGGCTATCACAACACCCCCCTCACGTAGGCTGGGAAATGCACCTGCACCTACCTGCACAGCTAGTAACTGTGGTGACTGAAATTGGAACCATTGCTACTGGGGAACAGGTGTTAACTACACTGTGGAAACTAACATGTGTGTGTTACTGGAATCGTACAAAGAAAGGACTCCTGTGATCAAAGCTACCCATGAGCACTGTGGCAAGACCTGCTTGAAATAAACAGGTATTCACACTTGGTAAGGCACCAATGAATAAAATAGCCAATAACAGGAAAACTAATGGCAACAGCAGAAAGTGATTATACCAGAGGCTCCCAAGCCATCTCAATTCTCAAAGCTCCTCGTATCTCAGTGATTTTTTTTTTTAACTAGGGTAGCCTCTGAAGCCAGATCAGTCTCAGAGAGACTCCCACCATGATTTTTCCACAGCATCCCTCAGCCAAAAGAAATAGCCTGCCGGGCGCGGTGGCTCAAGCCTGTAATCCCAGCACTTTGGGAGGCCAAGGCGGGTGGATCACGAGGTCAAGAGATCGAGACCATTCTGGTCAACATGGTGAAACCCCGTCTCTACTAAAAATACAAAAAATTAGCTGGGCATGGTGGCGCGTGCCTGTAATCCCAGCTACTCAGGAGGCTGAGGCAGGAGAATTGCCTGAACCCAGGAGGCGGAGGTTGCGGTGAGCCGAGATCGCACCATTGCACTCCAGCCTGGGTAACAAGAGCGAAACTCCGTCTAAAAAAAAAAAAAAAGAAAAAAGAAATAGCCAAGAGATCTGTGTATTAAGTAGTGAATAATGGCAACTGAAAGATGGTGCTACGACTATTAGTTACAAAGTTAAAAAGTTAAAATATCCCACAGTGCCCCCCTACCGAGTCTCCTGGCACTACAGGGTGTTGGAAACTGTATGCAGGTCTCAATAGGAACTTACGTGCGTGAGCCAGGCTGAGCGCCCAGAGCCTCAGGTAGGAGGCGGTGTTGGAGATGCATCCCAGACAGTACTCAATGGAATGGATTACTTGAGTCATTAGTATTTCTCCAAAATTAAACTGAGAGAGAGCACACAACATATGTTAAAGTCATGATGTGACATGTGTACTTCTACATGCCAAGTGGGTTCCACTTCAAGGATTACAATGAAAGAGCTGCTGGCTGGATGCTGGTGAAAACACTCTAGAGTGTGAGGAACAGAAACCCAAGACTTGCACTCTGTTCACTCTGCCGCTCCCCAGCTCCATAACCACAACTTCACCACCCCAAATCCCCACCTTCACCAGCCCTGCTCCATCCCACACCTCAGACTCCCCTGTGTAAACCAAGAGGCTAGACCAGAGGAACTGTGATGGCCACAGCTGTTATAAAATGAGGTTCCTAAGCAGGCCTCAGTAATTATGTAACATCTGCTGATAAAATAGCCACCTGATGCTGATAAAACCTGCTGATATCACCTGGTGCTGATAAAACACCAACCATAAGAGCAGAAGGTGATTCACAGCTGCTAGTTTAATAGATGTGGGTATTCTAAGTCAAGCCAACCAGGGGAAAACTCTGCAAGGGGTCCCTGATAGGGAAAGGGCTGCAGAACACCAGGCAAGGTGACTCACATGCGCCTTCCTGCTCTGCTTGTGTTTATGATTCTAGACACTTAATTATTAAATGCCCCAAATTAAAACATAAAATTACATAATAATTACAAAATACTGACTTTGAGAAATTTTGTTTGGTCCTCACTAAATGGCCAAAATAAAGTTTCCAAGAAAAGAAAGCAGAGGCTGTGCTCTGCTCTGTCTGCCCGGGACTGCACCTCTCTTCTTTACGGGGAGCTACAACTTCCCTGTCCAGCCTTGTACCCCCAACCGCAGTGCTCTGACTTACGTCCCCAAGTCTTATGCTGAAGCCCTAACCACAATGTGACTGTATTTGAAGACAGACCTTTGAGGAGGTAATCGAGGTTGAGTGAGGTCAGGGGGTGGGCCCTGACCCATTGTGACTACTGTCTTCTGGGGAGATCAGGAAAACCAGGGGTGCAGGCGCAGAGGAAAGGCCCTGTGCCGACACAACAAGCCGAGCAGGGAGGCCTCAGGAGAAAGCAGCCGGCCGGCATCGCAGTCCGGGACTGCCAGCCTCTGGAGCGGTGAGAAAAGTCTCTTGTTGAAGCCACCCAGGCTGTGGTGTTTTGTTACAGCAGCCCTGCAGGACTAAGACGGCAGCCACTGGTCCAGGGCTGGCAGGTATTTGGGAATTTTTTCCTAACAGTAGCAGGCTGGTAAGGGCACTCTGCTCTCTGATGGAAAGACTGAAAAAAATAAGCCCAGGGCAACTTGTGACCATGGTTCCAGCATCATGGGACCAACTGACTTCAGAATATAAAGAAAACTTACAAAAGAAAAAAGCCAACCAAGGCCTCTTGGAATTGGAGATACCGAAACTGTAATCATCCTGAAACCAACTCTACCTGTGTCCTGACATGAGCCAGCAGAGATCCCTTTGAAATCAGAAAACACTGGGTCTCTATGTCTGCAACTATGGAAAAGTTATTTTTTTATTTTTATTTTTTATTTTTTTATAAGAAAAAGAATAAAGAAGAGGAGGAAAGAGAAAGAGGAAGAGGGAGAGAGGATGGGGGTATTGCTTTATTGCCCGGGCTAGAATGCAGTCTAAATATGGGTATGCCTATAATTGTCCTTAATAATGGAGACATAAAAGAAAATGAGGGAAGAGAATAACAAACAAGGAGCCAACCAACATTTCATTTAAACTTCTAAGTTTATATGATGTGGTACTGATAAGAGTGTATATTTTGTATATTTAAAGTGGAGAGTTCTATAAATGTTAATTACATTTACTTGTTCCAGATCTGAGTTCAAGTCCTGGATATCGTTGTTAATTTTCTGTCTCATTGATCTGTCTAATAGTTAATGTTGAAGTCTCCCACTATTATTATGTGGGAGTCTAAGTCTCTTTATAAGTCTTGTATGTCTGCATATTCCTGTATTGGGAGCATGTATATTTAGGATCTTTAGCTCTTCTTGTTGTTGCATTGATCCTTTTATCATTATATAATGTCCTTCTTTGCTTCTTTTGATCTTTGTTGCTTAATTGTAACTTCTGCTTTTTATTTATTTATTTTAGCTCTCTGTTTGGTTGGTCAATCTTTCTCCATCCCTTGTTTTGAGTCTTTGTGTATCCTTGAATGTGAGATGGGTCTGGATGCAGCATACTGATGGGTTTTAGTTTTTTATTCAAATTGCCTGTCTGTCTTTGGATTGGGGGATTTAGTCAATTTAAATTTAGAATTAATAATGATATATGTGAGTTTAATACTGCCATTTAATATTAGCTGGCTGTTTTGCCCATTAGTTGATGTATATGCTTCATTATATTGATGCTCTTTTTGGTATTTTTTTAGAAAGGCTGATACTGTTCATTCCTTTCTATGTGTAGTGGTTCTTTCAGAAGCTCTTGTAAAGCAGGCCTAGTGGTGATGAAATTTCTGAGTGCTTGCTTATTCACAAAAAACTTTATTTTTCCTTCACTTGTGAAGCTTAGTTTGGCTGGATGTGAAATTCTGGGTTGAAAGTTCTTTTCTTTAAGGATGTTGAATATTGGTCCCCACTCTCTTCTGGCTTGTAGGGTTTCTGCCGAGAGATCTGCTGTAAGTCTGATAGGCTTCCCTTTGTGGGTAACCTGACCTTTCTCTCTGGCTGCCCTTATAAGATTTTCTCCTTCATTTCAACCCTGGTGAATCTGACGATTATGTGCCTTGGGGTTGCTCTTCTTAAGGAATATCTCTGTGGTGTTCTCTATATTACCTGGAGTTGAATATTACCCTGCCTTACTAGGTTGGGAAAATTTTCCTGAATAATATCCTGAAGCGTATTTTCCAGCTTGGATTCATTCTCTTCGTCACATTCAGGTACACCTATCAAGCGTAGATTAGGTCTTTTCACATAGTCCCATATTTCTTGGAGACTTTGCTCGTTCCTTTTTATCCTTTTTTCTCTAATCTTATCTTCTGGTTTTATTTCATTGAGTTGGTCTTCGACCTCTGATATCCTTTCTTCTGCTTGATCAATTCGGCTGTTAAAACTTGTGCATACTTCACGAAGTTCTCGTATTGTGTTTTTCAGCTCCATCAATTCACTTATATTCCTCTCTAAATTGTGTATTCTTGTTAACATTTCGTCAAATCTTTTTTCAAAGTTCTTAGTTTCTTTGGATTGGGTTAAAACAAGTTCTTTTAATTCACAGAAGTTTCTCATTATCCACATTTTGAAGCCTGCTTCTGTAATTGGAACACACTCGTTCTCCATCAAGCCTTGTTCCGTTGCTGATGAGGAACTGTGATCCCCTACTGCGGGAGAGGCTTTCTGATCTTTGGTATTCTCAGCCTTTTTTGGCTGTTTTCTTCCCTTCGTTGTAGATTTATCCATCTGTGGTCTTTATAATTACCATCTTTGTAATTGGGTTTCTCAGTGGACGTCCAACTTATTGATTCTCAGCGCCGAAGTCTGAGCAACCCACTGCGCCGACTGAATCAGCGGCGTTAAGATTGATGGTGTTTTTCTGACTCTGCACCAAGAACCGACGCTCCGAGGCGCTGGCAAAACTGCCTCGCCGGCCACAAGAGTCGCGCTGGCGATCCCGTGGGGCTCCTCCGCTGGGAATCTCCTGATGCGTGAGCAACAAGAATTCACTGTGAAGGTGTAGCGTCCTCTCGTTCTTTGCGCTTTCACTGGGAGCTACAATCCCGAGCTGCTAGTGATCAGCCATCTTGGATCTCTCTCCCCGCAACTATGGAAAAGTTCTGATTGACACAAGAAAGTTTTGAAAGCCATGTTCATGGCACCTTAAGTCACTCCTATCATAACTCGTAATGTAACAGCAGAAATCTCACTGGAGAAGTGAAATGACAAAATGATGACCCGAGCTCACATATAATGCATCAACTGTATCATCAAACAGCATCTGGAAAGCACTAACGTTCACTCTAACCCTAATCACAGACTGGTCGGCTTCAACAATAGAAACTGCTTTCGCGCAGTTCTGGAGGCTGCAAGTCCCATTTTCTTAACCATTTTTTAAGATTATTAAATAATTATCATCTTAACATGATTATCTCTATGGGAGCTTGGTTACTTATCTAGGATTATCAACAGCAACTGAAAAGATTACCTCTTCACACGTCACTTCTCGACATCCATCTTCCATCTGGTTATTTCCCTCTTCTACATCTTGGTTTCCCAGCAAGGACACTTCCTCCTCACTGTCTTTCCTTACAAGTGTGTAACCGCGCTAACAACCAAAAGAGCACAGAGTCAGTGCCTGTAAAACCACAAGGCTGTGACAAAACAAAACTTATACAGCTTGTTTCTCTTAATGATTCAGCTCTTTGAGAATAAAAAAGTTCTTTAGGCCAGGTGCACTAGCTCGCTGTAATCCCAGCGCTTTGGGAATCCAAGGTGGGTGGATCATCTGAGGTCAGGAGTTTGAGACCAGCCTGTGCAACATGGTGAAACCCTGTCTCTACTAAAATTACAAAAAATTAGCCAGGCATGGTGGCAGGTGCCTGTAATCCCCTCTACTCAAGGCCTGAGGCAGGAGAATCACTTGAACCCCAGAGGCGGAGGTTGCAGTAAGCTGAGATAGCGCCACTGCACTCCAGCCTGGGGGAAAGAGGGAAGACTCCAGTCTCAAAAAAAAAAAAACCAAAAATCTTAAAGAAGAAATTAAGAATATGGAAACAGGCTTTTTAACTATGCCCATCTGAATTGAGAGATTGAGCTAAACTCCTAATAGGCTTATAGTTAATACCATCAGAACCTGTCTCCACAGGCCCAGGACATAGCAGGCTCTTTCAACATCATTTTTTTTTTGTTTTAATTAATTAATTAATTGACAGATTGCTCTGTTGCCCAGGCTGGAGTGCACTGGCGCAATCACAGCTCACTGCAACAACCTCTGCCTCTGAGGCTCAAGCCATCCTCCCAACCTCCGCCTCCCGAGTAGCTGGGATTACAGGCGAGTAGCTGGGATTACAGGCGAGTAGCTGGGATTACAGGCGAGCAGCTGGGATTACAGGCGAGCAGCTGGGATTACAGGCGAGTAGCTGGGATTACAGGCGAGTAGCTGGGATTACAGGCGCCTGCTGCCACACCCGGCTCATGTTTATATTTTTGGTAGAGACAGGGTTTCGCCCTGCTCTCAAAGTCCTGGGCTCAGGTGATCTGTCCACCTTGGCCTCCCAAAGTGCTGGGATTATAGACGTGAGCTACCATGCCCAGCCAACATCAGTGTTTTAAATAAAGGAAGCTTTGGCTTTTAAATCAAGAGAAAGGGACCCTCCAGAAGGTGTTTTCTACACCAATCCTTGGATAACTGAAAGCAGGCTTTGCTCACAACTTACAAGCATGCATCCAAACCTGCACTTACCCGGTTCACCCCGAAGCAACTACGCCCATTGTGAAGCCACAACAAAAACAGTGGCTTTCCCAAGAAGAGGACAGGGACCGACAATGCTGTGACAACCAGCAGCACTCTCTGGACATGCTCCTGTTAGTGCAGAAGGTGAGAAACTTGATGAAAACGCGAAGGCGGGCCTGCAGCGTCGGCAGTATACAACAAAATCGGTAAAGATCACAACAGTGTCTCCGCGAGAGGAACATTAAATACATGCCAGCCAGCTACACCTGCCCGTGAATTGTCTTCTTTTCCTAAACTCAGAGCTGAATTCTAGAACTGATGAATAACACTAATGACCCTGTGGTAAAGTAGTATTTGGTTTTAGACCAGCAAGGAAATTTTACAAAAATTCTAAACAGAGTCAAACTCCAACTAATCATTTTCTGAAAACACTGTAAATGAGGAAGTATACGCACAAGCAGAATATTTTTGATATTCTTGGTCCTGTTTTCCTGTTATCTGATGACTATAAAGGCTGTTTGAGGACTCTTAGTGTGAAGCAAGTGGATTTACCTCCACACACAGAAAATCGTGGAAGAACATTCAGAACAAAACCAAAAACACTTCCTTAGAAAAAAGAAGATGTATACTTACTTACAGCTAATTCAAGAGCAAAACCCACTCAGGCTTACACAGCCACTGCAGTCTGCATGGCTTTCCAGGGTCTGGACAGGACATTGTGCTGTCTCAAGCTTATCACTCTCTGTGGTTGCCCCTCATCAAACACAGGTTCCTAGAGCTGTGTGTGCTACTTGGGCACAAGGCTGTATGATCTCCACACCATCAACGCAGTGAACCTCTTGAAATGCCGAGAGAGGTGGCAGCCACAGGCACAGCCACATCAGAAGTCCTGGGCCGGAGCCAGGCTGACCTGGGTTAACAGCCTGGCCCTACAGGCTGCTGAGTGACCAGGACTGCCCTGAGCCACCTGTCATCACCAGTAACGGGATGACACCACCTACCTCCCGGGGCTTTTGTGAGAATTAAGAAACGCTAAGTAAAGAAAGCACACTTTTTAGTATGCAGCAGATGCTAAATAAAGTTAGCTGCCCTTCATTGAGCTTTCTGTTCACAGCACCTATGTCCACTGAATGCCCTTGCATTTATCTGTGGTATCTATGCCATTGTAGGAAGTTTCAACAAAATAATGATAAAATACAATTTTTTTAAATCATAAATAAGAGAAACAAAAAAAAAAAATAAGAAACTTGAAAAGTTCAAAAAGAAGCCAAATATGCATCTTGTCAAAGAGGCCCAAAGTTCTATAAGTTGAGCTTCAGATCAGACCTAAAACTTTCCAGCACCCAACAGAATGTGAAAAACAAAACCAAATGCTCCATTCTCAGGTCAACAAGATGAAAAACCAAAACAGGGCTCAGGAGGAACACAGGCTCTGATACATACTACCGACTTGGGGGGGACTCCCAGACATCCTCACAGACACTGGACAGCGTGGTGGGCCATGTCTGGACCAGCATCCATGGGCAGGAGGTGTCGTGGCGCTCACAGCAGAAAGACTCTCAGTGTTAGGTGGGCAAGAACTGTGGCAAGCGCTGACATTTACTGTCATGTAATGTGCAAGCACATTCGTACGTACTTTGGACACGTTTGCGGTACACTATGAATCGGCTCCTATTTTTAGTCCCATTTTACAGATGAGGAAACAGAGGCAGAGAGAAGTGAGTCATCTGCTCAAAGTTCCATCCTGAGGAAATGGCAGAGCAGGGCCCCCAAGCACAGCAGTCAGCCCTCGGCGCCCACTCTGACATCACACAAACACACGATGGCAGGAACACCCATTTTTTTAAAGGGCCCATGTGCTGTTGTCCAGGTGGTCCCTTCTAAACAGGGGGACTGGGCAGCCCTCAGGAACCCTCTGGTAATGCATTTTCTTCCCACCAGTTTTGTTGGTTTTAGGGGTTGTTTTTTGTTTTTGTTTTGAGGCAGGGTCTTGCTCTGTCACCCAGGCTGGAGTGCAATGGTGCAATCATGGCTCACTGCAGCCTCAACCTCCCAGGCTCAAGAAATCCTCCTGCCTCAGCCTCCCAAGTAGCTTGGACAACAGGTACAGTCACCATGCCTGGAAAATTTTTGTATTTTTTGTAGACATGAGGTCTTGCAGTGTTGCCCAGGCTGGTCTCGAACTCACGGGCTCAAGCAATCCACCAGCCTTGGTCTCCCAAAGTGCTAGGATTACAGGAATGAGCTACTGTGGCCAGCCTCTTCCTGCTGGTTTTGATGGCTACTGAGTGGCAGCGAGTTTGCTCACGCTGCCTGACCAGAGCCTGCACACAGCAGTCGAGCTGGACTGGCACCTCTGGTGATAACACACACAGAGGCAGAAAGAGCCTTCCCACGCTCCTGGGAGTCCGTGGAGATCACCTGACATTTCTACTGATCAGAGTAAAAGGCTATTGGAAATACTTTTGTTAAGTTTGTGAGGGTGGGAAGATGACTCACCTGCCCTGTGTAAAGACCATTTGTTTTACTGGCTGGGAATAAAAACATGTTAATAAATTCAATCAGTATGCTGGGAGCAACTCTGGAGGTTTCTGCTGAAAAAACCAGCCACTTGTAGAAAATCATAAATATAAGGTATCCAAAGATACAGAGCATAAAGAGAAGTTCTGGGATGGAAACCAGGTAAATATTGAACTTCTTCTTGAAGTGCCTAGAAAAGAAAAGGAATCAATCAGCCCATGATGGCAGGATCGGCCCACATTAAAACGAGTAAATTAAACTCTTTGCAACTAAACTATAAAGCTTATTAACATCATTTATCATAAGATGACTCACACGTGAGTGTTCCAGATACATCCACGAGGAAGAGGGATGTGAGGCTGGCCAAAGCTACTGCAGTTTTGGGGACCAAATCTCACTCGAATTTGCTTCCTTGGTTCCCTTATTTGGAAACATTTCCTTCCCTTCCTTAAAGTAAGGCTACATAATATTAGTGAGTCTGGCTCCAAAATGCTGTCTCTTAGATTGTTATAAAGGTTTTTCAAGACTCCAGTTATACTGACTTAAAGCTACAACATCAAATTATACAAATTATGTTTAGAGATGAGAATGAACAGGTCTAATCAAAGAAAAATGACACAATCTCTTACTCTTCATATAATAGCTCTAATAAAGTAAAAACAAAAAGGTTTTTTTTTTTTTTTTGAGACGAAGTTTCGCTCTTGTTACCCAGGCTGGAGTGCAATGGCGCGATCTCGGCTCACCGCAACCTCCGCCTCCTGGGTTCAGGCAATTCTCCTGCCTCAGCCTCCTGAGTAGCTGGGATTACAGGCACGAGCCACCATGCCCAGCTAGTTTTTTGTATTTTTAGTAGAGACGGGGTTTCACCATGTTGACCAGGATGGTCTCGATCTCTCGACCTCGTGATCCACCCGCCTCGGCCTCCCAAAGTGCTGGGATTACAGGCTTGAGCCACCGTGCCCGGCCAACAAAAAGGTTTTTTATTTGTAAAATAAAAAAGAAATGACAAGCACCCGTTCTGGAAATCAACATGAACGTACATGTCGCACGCCTGGCCCACTTGAATGTAAGCATCACTGAGGCAATAACTTTTTCCTGCCCTCCTCACTGCTGAACCCCTAGTGCCTCAAACAGCAACTTGGCACTACTCTGCCATCAATAAATATATATTTGCCGAATGAATGAATTGCTGAAACTGCAGAAAATGTAAACAACTGCAACAGAATCATGTAAATACAACATCATATTGGCTGTCCTTTACCCAATAAACACAGTTCCCAACAAGAAGCAAAACTGAAGAAATGCCAAGTTTGCTTTATAAATATTACTTTTTAAAAACCTGGAAAAAAAAATCTGTACTTACAAGTGGTTAAATATTCCCAGAATAACTCCAAAAGTCATGTGAATGATTCCTAAAATCACAGACATTTTCATTTTGAAAGAGTTTAGAAAAGTGAGGCGATTTGTGGCCAAGTTCCAAATCTGAAATCAAACCAAACGAAACAAAAAAAAATCAGTAAATTCCTTGAAGAGGTGACACTCAAGAAAGTTCCTATCTTAACTGGAAAGGCAGCTCTAAGTTTAAGAAGCAAACAATATTCAGGCTTTTCTTTTGATGCTTTCAATCTGAGAACCATTGATTTCCTTAATCCAGGGCCACAGACAGTTACAATTTTATCAGTGTAAAGTTCAAAGAATGCCAGAAGGAACCACATAGCGTTTAGGGATATGTGCCTAGGAATTCTTAACAAAAGGAAAAGCCAGGGAGAGTCACACACAGCTCAGAGTGGAAGGGCCAGGACACTCTCAATGTCCTCTCTACCTGGGCAGGAGACATACATGTGTTATCACATGCTTACATACATGTGCCATACCTGCTCCTGTATGTGTATTTTGTCATATAGTTTAGCTGTGAATACAATGAAAGCAGAAATCCTGCAAGTGGCTAAGCCAAGATGTGCCGAGAGGGACCCCAGGCCATGGCTGATGTCCCCATGGTGCCCCCCGCCACTGGTCTGAGTCCCCACAACATCCTCACTCATTGACTGCTTCTCTTACTGTCTGAAAATTAATTCCTACAGCCTGCCCTTCAGGTGGGTAAGGAAAAAGAAAACAGGGCCTATTAAGATTTTTTTTTTTTTTTTTTTTAAGAAAGAGTCTCACTCCGTCACCCACGCTGGAGTGCAGTGGTGCTCAACTGCAACCTTCACCTCCACCTCCCAGGTTCAAGCGATCTTTCCTGCCTCAGCTTCCCGAGTAGCTGGTACTACAGATATGCACCAGCACGCCCGGCTAATTTTTGTATTTTTGTAGAGACAGGGTTTCACCATGTTGGCCAGGCTGGTCTCAAACTCCTGACCTCAGTGATCCACCCACCTCGGTCTCACAACGTATTGGGATTACAGGCGTGAGCCACCCCGGCCAATCCCTTTTTTTTTTTTTTTTTTTTTAAAGATAAGGGGTCTCACTGTAGCACAGTGGAGAGATCACGGCTCATGGCAGCCTTGACCTCCTGTGCTCAAGCAATCCTCCTAGCCTCAGCCTTCCAAGAACCTGAGGTAGGAGGATTGGGCACACACCACCACTCCCTACTAATTTTTAAATTTTTAGCCTCCTGGTTCCTAGCCCTGAATACTTTATTTTGCCCTTGCAAAAATGAGGTATTTTAGATTTTAGAATGAGGTATTCAGGGCTGAGGACTGAGAGGCAAGTCAACTTCGCTGATACATTTATATATACTTTTATGTCTTACTTTAAAGTATGTATTTTATATTTATAATGTACATACATTGGTTTACTTTTGAATCAGATGTTTGTAATGCCTAGTTTAAAATTCAATTAAAACAAAAAGAAGACAAAGCCATACCCCATTTCCCCTGACATCTCCCAAAAAACACTCACTCAAACTTTTTTCCTTGGTTTCCTTATTCAGAAACATTTCTTTCCTTTAACACAAAGCTACAAGTTATTACTGAATTTGGCTCCAAAATGCTGTATCTTAAAGAAATTGTCATAGATGTGTTTCTAAGTTCCCAGTTACATTAAGACTTAACGCTACAACATGAAATTATACCAATCATGATTAGAGATGAGAGTAAATAGAACACAGTAAGAGATACTGCCTCCTTGGAGGGCCCCGGTTAAGGAATGCCAGGCTTTTTTTGTTCAGTTTAATGACTAGTACACAATTACATTCACAAACCAATTTGAGTCATTCTTTTGATTCCCCAGAAAGACTCCTGACAGCCCAGGAAAACTCCACCCAGCCCTGTGGTCCACTGCTTCAGCCAGGCCTGCTGAGCCCTCGAGAGGGTGGGGGTCCTGGCAACTTGGGGCCACTTCTCCATTTTCTCTATTAACACTTTTCCCATTCCAAACAACTACCCCAGTAAGCACTGCAATAACCTTCTGCTTCCTTTCAGCGCTAACATGCCATACCATTTCTTTCTAGATTGAGGGTTTTTAAAAGTTCACATATACAAGGAAGAAATGTAGGAAACGGCACACATTTCGGGGCTACTGAAGTGCCATTTTTCACCAGAGGAAAATAGGTCAGGACACATGACAGAACACAGCCCCAGCTCTCTGAGGACTTCCTCTGACCTCACCTTCCCGAAAGGAGGGCTCCCCAGCTCCTGGCTTCCCCTCCCCATCCCTGGGACTGGGATGCCCAATGGGGGCTAATGAGCCCCTCCCCTAGAGAACCTCGTGGTGCCCAAAGCTAGTTGGTACCACAGAGCACCCAGAGATGATTACAGGGCGCGGCGCACTCACAGGATCAATGCCAAGGGGATAAGGGCCTCGGAACACTCCAGGAATGCTTGGGTCCAACTGCAAAACCCTGTTGTGCCTGACGACACTGTCGCTGTAACAAAAAGCAGAGTGAGGAGGAGGAAGCTGACTGCGGGAGGAGGAAGGTCTAGGAAACACGCTTCCCACCCAGAGCATTCGCCAGCACCAGGTAAGAAACACTTACTTCCAAAGCACCATCTTCTTCTGCTCTGTGGGGGTGTGGCTGGAGCTGTACATGGCAGACACATTCCACCTGGAGCCGAACAGGTTGACTGACTTTGAAAAGCAGTCATTGTAGATGAGGCCGGTGTACACCGAGAACAGCCCCATCAGCAAGAGGATATAACGGCCATTAAAAAACATCCTCATGATCTGCGAAGGGCAAGAGCGGGGGTCAGAACACGGTTACTGGAGGGTATCCATGAGGCAGCAGCCAGTGTGGGCACGCCCCTCACCACTTCTCCCAGGGCTTCTTGGAAAATAGCCTGACCTGCAGACGTCACTGTCAGCCGCAAGTGACAAGCCACACACCTGCCCAGCACAGCCACAGCCCACAGCGAACATCTAAGAGGTGTCTTTCTTTCGGTCACCACTAATGCCACCCAAACAGATACATGTACTGGAGTGTTTCGATTTTTACCTCCTGTGACTGATTTAGTCTGGGATGATTTTCATTTAACACCAACAAGAGGGCAAATAAAAACATCACGAAGCCATGTCCAAAGTCTCCAAACATCACAGCAAATAAAAACGGGAAGGTGATGATGGTAAAGAGAGCTGCAAGGAGAAAAAGAAAGGGAAAGAGATTTCTGATTTACAGCAAATACAGAAAATCTGAGTTCATTCAAACACAATGATATATAACGATCTTGACTTTCTCCGGAATTCCCAAGCTAGGATTGTGTGGTTACATTTAAAACCTTTCACTTTTAGATAAGATAGCAAAAGGATTGGTCAGCATCTTTTTCTAAAGATCTATTTTATTCTCAGAGCAAGAATGCAGCAATGCCATAGGAAAAACAGGTATTTACAAATCTGACTTCCAACCTGGATTGACTTCTCTGTAGCTTCCAACTCCGTAAGCATCCACAATGTTCTGAAATCCCTCGGTGAATTTGTTGGTGCGGATCCGAGTTGGGGGTGTCTCTTTTGTGGGGATTATGTTCATGAATGAGGGGATTGTAGCACCGCTCTCTCTCTTCCACATAAACAAGGAAACACAAAGAAATTACTATCCATATTCACCAAATCTCGGTTCTTGCTTTGGCAAGGCATGTGTGTGGCTTTGGTGCAGGATCAATCTCTACTCAACAGGGTCAAGGGCAGCCAGAGGGGCTAAAGGAAAAGTCCGTCTATGAGGAAGCGGGGGGCTTGGCGGGGGCGGCATTTGGGGGCTGTGGTCTCCAAGAAGGAAGGGCGAGAGCAGGATTGAGTGGGCCGGAAGTGAATGGGGGTTGGGAACAAGAGGCACATGGGTACGGGGTAGGATCAGAGTCACTGACAGAAAACTGACACTGAGTACTTTATCTATGAAAAATGGTGAAGAAAGAGGAAGTTTGAGGACAACTGTAATATATTTAATACAAAAATGAGAAAGGCAAGAATAAACCAAAATGACACCGTGAATTCTACTGTGGCAAAATCAAAAATATAACTTTTTCCATCAGTGTTTACAATTCTGAAATGCATCGTATTGTTATAATGAAAGCACTTTTAAAATAAAGTAAGGCCGGGCGCGGTGGCTCAAGCCTGTAATCCCAGCACTTTGGGAGGCTGAGGCGGGTGGATCACGAGGTCAACAGATCGAGACCATCCTGGTCAACATGGTGAAACTCCTACTAAAAGTACAAAAAAAAAATTAGCTGGGCATGGTGGCGCGTGCCTGTAATCCCAGCTACTCAGGAGGCTGAAGCAGGAGAATTGCCTGAACCCAGGAGGCGGAGGTTGCAGTGAGCCGAGATCGTGCCATTGCACTCCAGCCTGGGTAACAAGAGCGAAACTCCGTCTCAAAAATAAATAAATAAATAAATAAATAAATAAATAAATAAATAAAAATAAAGTAAAACAGGTTATTGCCAGATAGTAGATTTTTCCAGTCTAAATACGTCTTTTTTTTTTTTCTTTGAGACAGAGTTTCACTTTTGTTGCCCGGCTGGAGTGCAATGGCACGATCTCAGCTCACTGCAACCTCTGTCTCCCAGTTTCAAGTGATTCTCCTGCCTCAGCCTCCCAAGTAGCTGGGATTATATGTGTGCACCACCATGCCTGGCTAATTATCGTATTTTTAGTAGAGATGGGGTTTCACCATGTTAGCCAGGCTGATCTCCAACTACTGACCTCAAGTGATCAACCTACCTCAGCCTACCAAAGTGCTGGGATTACAGGTGTAAGCCACTGTACCCGGCCAAAATGTATCCCTTAAAACGCATGCATGTAAGGGGGTTCTGGGGAAATTCTCAGGGGTGGCACAGCTTTGAACATCCCCGAGTCCCCTTCAGAGCAGAAAGTGCAACCGCTAGCAAGACCTAAAGCCCACAGATGGCACTTACATCCAAACCACGTCCCCATTTGTATTCTGGGGAAAATAAAATGGATGAGGAAACCACCAACAGCTACAAGACCTACCCAGCAGCCTCCAGACGAGAGGATGCAGGTAAGCAATGTGGCCTCCAAGGGACCTGGGTAAAAAACACCCAAAATGGCCAAAACGATCCTCCCTGGAAAGCAGAGGAAGCCAACCCACAAAAAGCAGCTGGAACTGGGAAGCGTTCTGTCCAGTCCGAGAGTAGGTGACACTGAGTACTTTGGGGCCATGGGCAGTAAAGTCTGCAGGAGTCAGGACGGAGCAGCCCAGTCCCTAAAGTCACTGCACTGACCTGCCAGGGCCTGCCCAGCCGAGGGACCACATGCTGAGGAGAGACCACTGGAGTGTGTTCAAAACTGAGCAGGACAGGAACAAAAGAGAAAAGACAGAGAAGGCCGCAAGAGAGACACAAAGGACATCGCAGATCCGGGACCTCATTGTGTTTTCATTCAGTACACAAAAATATAAAAAGAAAAAACTGTCAGTGAGGTTAGGAAAGCTATCCTGAAACTGCCTCCTTCTAAAAGTTCCTTGAGTACCGTAAACATGTGCCAGAAAACTAATTTCACATAAATAAACATTTATATTGCTTGTGTAGTAATACAGCATTTTGGCCGGGCGTGGTGGCTCACGCCTGTAATCCCAGCACTTTGGCAGGCCAAGGCAGGTGAATCACCTGAGGTCAGGAGTTTGAGACCAACCTGGCCAACATGGTGAAACCCTGTCTCTACTAAAAATACAAAAATTAGCTGGGCATGGTGGTGCCAGCCTGTAATCCTAGCTATTAGCAGGGCTGAAGCAGGAGGATCACTTGAACCTGGGAGGCGGAGGTAACAGTGAGCCGAGATCAGGCCACTGCACTCCAGCCCGGGCAACAGAGCGAGACTCCGTTTCAAAAAAAAAAAAAAAAAATACAGAATTTCCTTGAGCAGGCCAAGCACAGTGGCTCATGCCTGACATCCCCAGCATTTTGGAGGGCTGAGACAGGAGGGTCACTTAAGCCGAGGAGTTCAAGACCAGACTATCTTTTGTACAGATGCCATCTCTACAAAAAAAAAAAAAAAAAAAAAAAAAAAACTAGCAAGGCCTAGTGGTGTGTGCCAGTCGTCCCAGCTACTTAGAGGCCGAGACGAGACGGGTGGATTGCTTGGGCCCAGGAGGTTGAGACTGCAGTGAGCCACAGCCTCACCCCTGTTCTCCCGCCTGGGTGACAGAGTGAGACCTTGTCTAAAAAAAAGAATTTGCAGGCCAGGCACGGTGGCTCACACCTGTAATGCCAGCACTTTGGGAAGCCAAGGCTGGTGGATCACGAGGTCAGGAGTTCGAGACCAGCCTGGCCAACATGGAGAAACCCCGTCTCTACTAAAAATACAAAAATTAGCAGGGCATGGTGGCATGTGCCCGTAATCCCAGCTACCCACGAGCTGAGGCAGGAGAATCGCTGGAACCCAGGAGGCAGAGGCTGCAGTGAGCCGAGACTGCACCACTGCACTCCAGCCTGGCCTACAGAGCAAGACTCAGCCTCAAAAAAAAAAAAAGAAAAGAATTTCCAGACCGGTGCAGTGGCACAGGCCTGTAATCCCAGTGCTTTGGGAGGCTGAGGTGGGTGGATCACAAGGTCAAGAGATCAAGACCATCCTAGCTAACATGATGAAATCTGGTCTCTACTAAAAATAGAAAAATTAGCTGGGCATGGTGGTGCACACCTGTAGTCCCAGCTACTCAGGAAGCTGAGGCAGGAGAATCACTTGAACTGGAGGCAGAGGTTGCAGTGGGCTGAGATCACGAGATCGTGCCACTGCACTCCAGCCTGGTGACAGAGTAAGACTCTGTCTCAAAATAAAAAAAATAAAGAAAATTTCCTTGAGCAGCTGAGCATCTTTACCACGTTCCGTAAATCTTTTTTTTCTTTTTTTAACCTCCGCCTCCAGGGTTCAAGATATTCCCATGCCCCAGTCTTCCAAGTAGCTGGGATTACAGGCATGCACCACCATACCTGGCTAATTTTTATTGTATTTTGTATTTTTTGTATTTTTAGTAGAGACAAGGTCTCACCATGTTGGCCAGGCTGCTCTCGAACTCCTGGATTCAAGTGATCTGCTTGCCTGAGCCTCCGGAGTGCTGGGATACTGGCGTGAGCCACCACATCCAGCCTCAAAAGTCTAATTTCATTTAAAAATTAGAGAAGAGGAGGGAGGAGGCCAATCTTACACAAGTCGTAAGAAGAAAAAAGCCAATGAGCAGTTGAGAAGATGCCAGAAACAATGTCCACAAAACAGATAAAACCAGTCACTTACTGTTTCAAAAGGAGTTAAAAGAATTAAGAAAATAATAGAAGACAGGAAAAAGACAGGAATCAGAATTAGAAGGACTCAGAAATGAGGTAACAGAACTAAAGAAAGGAATTAGGAAAAAAAAGAAAAAATGTGTTTCAGAAATAAGACAAAACTAGAAGGAACACAAAGGTGAAGAACCCTTCTTCATAATGCTGTAAGAGAAACACTTCAACCTGAGGAAGCTGAAAAAGAAAATTTAAAAATAAAAAATAAAAAAAAAGAGAAACGGAAGATGCGAAGAGGAGAAATTGTACAAATCTAAAAGACATCAAGAAAGACAAAAAGGATTTAAGGGAAAGTGACAGATACTGAAGGTAAGCAAAGAAGGGACCACTGAAAGATGACAGGAGGTCCTAAAAGAAGAAAACCAAAGCAAGACAGTAGAGCAAATACTAAAAACTGTAATTCAGAAGAATGTTTATGAAATTAACAAAACCACCACCAAAGACTGTATCTTGGAAGAACACAGAGAAAGACCACATTAAGAGACACATCTGGGCCAGGAGCGATGGCTCACGCCTATAATCCCAGCATTTTGGGAGGCCAACATGTATGGATCACTTGAGGTCAGGAGTTTGAGACCAGCCTGGCCAACGTGATGAAACCCCATCTCTACTAAAAATACAAAAATTAGCCAGGCATAGTGGTGCACACCTCTAGTCCCTAGTCACAGCTATTTGGGAGACTAAGGCATAAGAATCACTTGAACTTGGGAGGCAGAGGTTACAGTAAGCCAATATCACACCACTGTACTCCAGCCTGGGCAAAAGAGCCAGACTCTGTCTCAAAAAAAAAAAAAAGAGACCCATTCTGTAAAATCATTGTTTTTGTTTGTTTGTTTTGTTTTCTTTCTTTCTGAGGCAAGGTCTGGCTCTGTCGCTCAGGCAACGCAGCCTCAACCTCCCAGGTTCGAGCGATCCTCCCACCCCAGCTTCCAGAGGTTACAGGTGCATCACTAGCTAATTTTTTAGTTTTTTGTAGAGGTGGGGTTTAACCACGTTGCCCAGGATGAAAATCACTGGTTTTTAAAGAAAAAGATCTTTCTTTTTCTAGACAAGATGAAAAAAAAAAAACAGCTAAACTTAAAAAGCACATGAATTACAAGGAAAAGAAAATCAGATTAAAATCAGGCTTTTTGTCGGGAACCTGGGGCCAGAATAAAATGGAGGAACAGGTTTAAGATAGTCAAGGGGGGGAAAAAATGAGCCCAGAATTTTATTTCCAGAAAAACTAATTCCCAGTTATAAAAGGCAGCAGACAGACAGACACTGTGATCAATGTGAGAATTCAGGGAATATGATTCTTCCAAGTTTCCCGAGGCATCTCTAGGGAACAAGCTTCTGGTAGCCAAGGGACTAGAGAGACATGAACCCAAGAACTGGGATCAGTAGGCCGGAAGCTCAGACTCCCCGCTTCCACCTGCACAGCCTGTTAGGAGTTCTGCACATGAGGCCCCTGTGTGCCTGATCAAATTCAGTCTTGGTGACAGAAGAAAAGGTATCCTCTAAACATGAGCTGACTACCAAGGCAACTGTGAAGGGCCAGATTCACGAGGTGTGGGGAAGCGGGTGATGAGCTGGCCTTCATCAACAGTGGAGAATGTTTCAGTCACCTGCTTCTATCTTCGAAAGCCAGCTCGTTTTCAAGAAAACTAAAAATGCGGCCGGGCTCGGTGGCTCAAACCTGTAATCCCAGCACTTTGGGAGGCCGAGGCGGGTGGATCACGAGGTCGAGAGATCGAGACCATCCTGGTCAACATAGTGAAACCCCGTCTCTACTAAAAATACAAAAAACTACCTGGGCATGGTGGCGCGTGCCTGTAATCCCAGCTACTTAGGAGGCTGAGGCAGGAGAATTGCCTGAGCCCAGGAGGCAGAGGTTGCGGTAAGCCAAGATCGCGCCATTGCACTCCAGCCTGGGTAACGAGAGCGAAACTCCGTCTCAAAAAAAAAAAGAAAACTAAAAATGCATGGAGAAAAATAACACAGGACAGGAAAGATGAGGAAAGAGAACAGGCCGGAGGCCAGGCGCAGTGGCTCACGCCTGTAATCCCAGCACTTTGGGAGGCTGAGGCGGGTGGATCACGAGGTCAAGAGATCGAGACCATCCTGGTCAACACAGTGAAACCCCGTCTCTACTAAAAATACAAAAATTAGCTGGGCATGGTGGCGCATGCCTGTAGTCCCAGCTACTTGGGAGGCTGAGGCAGGAGAATTGCTTGAACCCAGGAGGTGGAGGTTGCAGTGAGCCAAGATCGTGCCATTGCACTCCAGCCTGGGTAACGAGCGAAACTCCATCTCAAAAAAAAAAAAAAAAAATAGAGAACAGGCCGGGACTATGGGCAATAAGAGCTCAGTACCCCTTGACAGGGAAAACCAAGAGTCAGAGCTGATGTCACCTCGATAAATAAGAATCATCTGTGTTTAACTCTCAAGTAGATGGCTCACACTGTAAATAACAAAATACAATTTATGTGTTGCTGTCTTTCTTAGTACTGGGTATTTCATGTTTATGCCATAATGGACATTATATTTTACATTTGTACCATCACAGAATTATGTAATGAGACAAGGTTACATAACCAAAGAACTCATGAAAAACGTGTTCCCTTAACTGTCACTTGAAATATGTAAACCTGTTCTTTCCACGACCAAAGCCTGAGTTTAGCATAGAAGAAAAACCTCACAGGAACGTGGGAGAATTACTCTATAACCTCGAAGTGGGAAAAGCCTGTGATTCAAAATCCAGAAGGTTATGAGAGCAAAGATGAGTACGTTCAACTATATTTAACAAAAAACTTCTGCGTAACCAAAACAAATAATTAGAAATATCCTAAGTCAAAAGATAAGGGACAAACAGGGGAAAATATTATTACTGGTGTCACAGACCAGGAGCCAAGAGAAATTGGTAAGAGAAAAGCCAACATACAATGGAAAATGACTGCAGAATATTAAGAGACAGTTCACAAAAGAGAAAATTCAAAAGGCTCTTAAAAAAAGGTATTCCCCTTCATTCACAATGAGAGAAATACAAAGCTGACAACATCTATCAAAATCAGTTCAGCAATTCCATTTCTGTTTACCTACAAAGAGATTTGTATGGCCAGGCACGGTGGCTCACTCCTGTAATCCCAGCACTTTGGGAGGCCAAGACAGGCAAATCACAAGGTCAGGAGTTCAAGACCAGCCTGACCAATATGGTGAAACCCCGTCTCCACCAAAAATACAAAAAATTAGCCAGGCATGGTGGCACGCGCCTGTAGTCCCAGCTACTCAGGAGGCTGAGGCAGAAGAATTGCTTGAATTGGGAGGCAGATGTTGCAGTGAGCCAAGGTCACACCACTGCACTCCAGCCTGGGTGACAGAGCGAGATTCCTTGTCAAAAAAAAAAAAAAAAAAAGATTTGTACATCATAGTACTATTTGTAAAAGTGAAAACTGCCTAAATGACAAGAGAACTGGTTAAATAAGCCATAGTATGCACACAGCAGAATATAAAATAGTTGCAAGAAAAAGAGTTTTATTAAGTGAAAAGAATGTATAAATACATTTCTTCCCTTTTGAGAAGAAAAAGAAAAATATTATCTATTCATATCTGCTTATCTATGGTTAAGAAACTCAAAGAAATAACAGCACTGAGCAATGGTTATCTCTGAGTGGAGAAAGTGGACAAGTGAGGCTGTGGGGTGGGTGGAACCTGCTGCACTGTCTTTCCTACCCTTATTTCTCTTCACTTTTAAACCATGTGAATGAATGAATGACTCAAAAGAGCAATTTAAAAACGCATGTACACACACACAGCTTTGAATAACCAGCTCACCATAATTTCAGTTAAAATACAGAGCCAAGGCTGGGCACAGTGGCTCACACCTGTAATCCCAGCACTTTGGGAGGCTGAGGCAAGAGGATCGCTTGGGACCAGGAGTTTGCGACAAGCCTGGGCAGCATAGCGAAACCTCATCTCTATTTCAATTTTTTAAATTAATATTTTTAAAAAACCAAAAGAAGGGTCAATACAGTGCATTCTCATTACTCTATGAAATTCTCACTTCCTTTGTTTCTCTGAACTTATCAGTTCCATTAGTTTCTCTTCTGTTCCTGGCAGAGCAGAGGAAGGCGGCCTTACCGAGCCCTCCTCCAGCGCCCGGCGCAGGTCCTGCAGATCGGCCTCAGGACACCAGACCTCGGCAATGAGGCACTTGTTGGTCACATCGAAGCTGCACATGTTCAGCATGTGGTAGATGGCCTTCATTTTCTTCACCTGGATCACACGGCTGTAGACAGACTCAGCCGCTTTACATAGCACTTGCCTCAAATAGTCCTCAGTTTTGTGCAGCACCTGGGGACGAACAACAGGGGCTTTCAGCGGAGTGGGCATGTTTTGGTTTTTGACCACCTGACACCCGACTTCCTTTAGAAGACTTTCTCCCCACTGACGGAGGATCATTCCAAGCACCTGTCTCTCCTGGTGGCTGATAAGGGAGCCATTCCTTCTTTCCTCTCCCCGCCTCTAGTACCACTCAGAGGTGGGCAGAAAAATCTAAGCTCAGTCAATCATATACCCTCTTCTGGGAGGTTGCCTCTGGAGAACATGACCTCAGGGGCAGAGGAAATGGTGACACATCATCATCACTGCAGCAGTGTGACGGCCTACCAGGGTCCAGCAAGCTCCCTGGGTTCCTATGCACTCCCAAGCTTGGCCTCGTCCCTGTCAACCCTGTGATTCACCAAAGAACGCCCATCCCAATCCTGTCAGAGATCCTCTCTCGCTTAAGTGAGCCAGAAGGAGGCTTCTTGCCAACGAGAACTCTCACTGTCATCAGAAGAAAAATGAATTTAAATCCTACGGGTAAAATAATGCCCACCATGTTAACTGGGGCTGGCTTGTCTCTTGTGATCAGGAATTACAATCCAGGCTGAGCGTGGTGGCTCACACCTGTAATCCCTGTACTTTGTGGGGCTGGGGTGGGAGAATCATTGGAGGTCAAGAATTTGAGACCAGGCTAGGCAACAAGGTGAAACTCTGTCTCTACTAAAAATACAAAAATTAGCCAAGCGTGGTGGTACATGCCTGTAATCCTGGCTACTTGGGAGGCTAAAGCAGGACAATCGCTTGAACCCAGGTGGCAGAGGTTGCAGTGAGCCAAGATTACGCCACTGCACTCCAGCCTGGGCAACAGTGAGATCCTGTTTCAAAAAAAAATATAAATTACCATCCAACATATCAAAGGTGACCACAAAATCTTTTTTCAAAGCCCCATCATTATTACTCATGTTCCTAACACGTTGCTAAAATAAAACTTCCATGGGGAGGAGGAGCAACATTCCAATCTCACTAGAACATCTGGATTTGTCTACAACCAATATTATCTGTTTTAAAAAGGAGAGAAAATGGATATGTAAACGTCTGGCAGCCCTCCAATAAGGAGGCACCCGCTTCAGACTCACTCACAGTGTAGAGATCTTGAATGCGCGTGTTCAGCCCCTCCTGGATCTCCCTCCGCTCCTCGGCTGTGTTTGGATAGGGGTATACGTGGCAGTGGTAGCTGGAAGACAGAGTTGAACACGCTCTCACACCTGTCAGCGCTAGAACTAAACACACTCACCTCCCCTGCACATCTCCCAACAAAACAAAATGAAAGCAGCTGTTTGGGAGAGACGGGTGTAGACTCAGGCATCCGCCCTCGGTCAGGCCGTGCATACGGATGCTCAGCAAGCAGCTGCTGAGTGAAACAAATCCAGCTAACTCCCTCTTGGATCCAAATGCCACTCCTGCCCTCAGTGATTCCCAGCAGTTCATTCCCAATTCCAACTTCCTAAAATTCAGCAATATCCTTGAGCTGGGAATCACTGAACAGGCATAAACATAAACACAAACACAAAGACACACATACACACACACGAACGCACGCACGCGCACGCGAAAACGAAAGGAGAAAAGGGCTCTGGCTTCCTAGCAGTTGCCTTTGACAGGGTCTGCAGTCTCCCTGAGCTGGTGTTTTCTCCAGGGCCACTCAGCGTCCAGACCTCAAGGGGGAATACTGAGCTTTGTCCCCCAAACTGCAGGCATTCCCAGGACCATCTTCATATGTTAACACCATACCTTGATTTTTCTTTAAGTTCTGCCTTTGAAAAATTAAACACCTATTCTAGCCTTATCCTAAGCAACAATATCTGTGAAATCATGTGTTTGCTGAGCTGGGTATAGTTTTCTAATCTATAGTAAAACAAATATCTATTAAAAATAAAAGCTTTATGTGGGTAACACCTGAAATTACTTTCTATTCCACCAATTGAGAACCAAATTCTGGTAAATAGAAAACACCCAAATCCCACCCTACCCTGCAAGAATCAAGGCAAGCCGAGTTCTCCATTGATGTAAGAAAGCAAAGGGCTGTTCTTTTGAGTTTTCCAACTTGATTTGGCTTTTGCTTATGTTCCCATTTGCTGACAGGAGTTAAGTCACAGATGACTGTTGTACCACTACTCAAAATTACCGATGGCTTATGCCAAACTGACATCTTTCACCTGATAATCTCATTTAGTCCTAAAAGACCTATAAGGCACTCTCCCCTTTTATAGATGAAGAAACTGAGGCTTGGCCACTTGTCCAAGTGAGTCCAGTGAGAGTGGCACAGGGAGGCTGTGCATCCAGACAAGCCACCAAACACCCCCTCCTCACCACACACCACAGTCCCTGCCCCAGGGTAACCAGAACAGAAGAGGTGCCACGTGCTCAGTAACGACAGATAAGCCCAATGGGTAGCTCAAAGCAACAGGAAGTCACAACGTATGAAAACTTCATTCCTTTTTCAACCAATCTGAAGCCTTGATCCCCCAAGGAAAAAAGTCAAATCTAGGAGTATTATTAACACGGTCTCTACTTTTAAATAATTTTTTTTTTTTTTTTTTTTTTTTTTTTTGAGAGGGAGTTTCGCTCTTGTTACCCAGGCTGGAGTGCAATGGCGTGATCTCGGCTCACCGCAACCTCCGCCTCCTGGGTTCAGGCAATTCTCCTGCCTCAGCCTCCTGAGTAGCTGGGATTACAGGCACGTGCCACCATGCCCAGCTGATTTTTTATACTTTTAGTAGAGACGGGGTTTCACCATGTTGACAAGGATGGTCTCGATCTCTTGACCTCGTGATCCACCCGCCTCGGCCTCCCAAAGTGCTGGGATACAGGCGTGAGCCACTGCGCCCAACCCGTAAATAATTTTAAGTAATGCACTGACAACAGAGATGATGAATTAAAGGTTCAAGAACTTAGCAGTGCAGCAAGGAAATCATATAACAAAAACTAGCAGCCACCCTAGCAGACTCCAGAGGGATACTGAAGGAAAACCAGAGGTGACTGAATATAAAGACATAAATGAAATGAAATGTTTCTTTTTCTTACCAATCACATATCTTCTTAACCTTGTGGCCAATCTGCTCTCCCCAAAAGGATATTAAAAAGACATACCATTTTATGACTTCCCCCTACAAAGAATGAATAAGGGTGTTACTTCTGCATATACAACTTCTAGAACTTTGGCAGCTCAAACACTGTCAAAGCGTTCATTCATTCATTCACTCAATACGGTCAATCCTCCTTATTTGAGGAGTCTGTAATTATAAATGTACCTACATGCTGTAACAGCCCCAAATCAATCCACAGAGCACTTTCAGTCATGTGCAGAGCAGCCAAAAATTTCAGGCACCTGATACCCACATTTCCAGGTAAAGTCCAACAAGGTGACACCCTGCCTTCCCATCGCCTCGGTCAGACTATCAATGAGTGTCCTGTTTGTTGTCATGTTTTTCACACTTTGGTACTTTTTCTGGTGATTTCAGGATATAAAACGGCCCCCAAGAGTTGTGCTGAGGTGCAGTCTGGTGTCCTGAGCACAAGACAGCTGTGATGTGCCTGATGGAGACACAGCGTGTGTTAGGGATGCTTCGTTCAGGCTTAACTCACAGAGCTGCTGGCTGGGAGCTTAATGTGAATACTCAACTCCTGTGTTTCTCCTAGGAGCAGTGGCTCCACAGCTGATGATTTAGAGAGCTCAGTGACTTTATGAACATAATTACTGTAAATAATGAAGAATCACTTGAATTTACAAATACCCAACAAAACAGAATTCTATAAAACCTGAATAGGTTTTCAGCCTATTTGCCAGGCACTATTATAGATGCCAGGGATACAGCAGTGAGGAAAACACACAAAAACCCTGACCTGGGAGGGGAAGGGAACTTAAACTTATATTTAACTTAACAGCAAAAGAAACAAAGAAAGTAGGCCAAGCAGAGAGAAGTGCTATAAAGAGCACATGCAGGATTAGGAGGCAGGAGAAGAGAGGCTCGGGCACTGTGACCTCACATGGGACGGGCAAGGAAGACCTCCCCGAGAAGGAGGCAGCTAAGCATAAAGACATGCAGGTAAGCTTCAAGTCAGGGCAAACGGAAAAAAAATGCAGGAGTGAGGACGCCAGCCCCGTAGATGCTGGGAGAAGAGAAGCACATGCCTCTTCCAGGCAGAGGAGAAACACACACAGAAGCACGGTCAGGAGACTCAAGGAGGCCAGCACTGCAGGGGAGGGATGCGGTAACACAGCGCAGAGATGTGAGGCGGCCACGGGCCCACTGTGCGCCCCCGAGGGGTTTGGGTGAAGAAAACAGGAGGCCCCTGGAGGGTCCTGAGTAGAGGAATGAAATGATCTGACTGTGGTTTCCTGGGGATCATTCAGGAGGCTGGGAGGAGAGACCTAGGGTAAGGCAGAGGCACGAGCAGGAGCCCAGCCAGGTGAGGCAGGTTCGGGGACGAGACCTGGACAAGGAGGGAGGCAGAGTGAGAGGCGGCCAGACTCCCTATTCATAAGACATGGTCACCAGATCTGCTGAGGGATTCAAGTGAGACTCGAGAAACAGAGAAGAGTGGGGAGAAACCCAGGGCTTTCCGCCTGCGCAGTTAGATCAGTGGGTCTGGAAGGGCAAGTTTGGGAGGAAAGATCACATGTTCAGTTTTAGGCAAAAGCAGAAAACCGTCTTCGAGATACTTAAAAGGAGATATGGAATAGACAGACTTAAAAGTCTAATATTATGGGGATAGGTCCAAGCTAGGAATATATACATTTGGGGCATAAAATTCTGTGAGATCCCCAAGGACAAAAAGAAGAGGGAAGCTGTCCAAAAATTGAGCCCTGGGCCTCAGGGAACAGGAGTACAGGCTGGGGAGCTACAGCACAGCATGGGCAGGTGGTGGTGGGAGAGAGGGGATGGCAGGAGGGGGAGGGGGAGGATGTGGCTGGGAGAATGAACACAATGAACAAGTAAGTCAATTAACTAAGCAACCCACCAAACACACTGTGGATAAGGGAAGCCGACTTCACACTGTCAGAAAAGAGTTAAAACCAGGAAAAAGAGGCCGGGAATAGTAATCCCAACATTTTAGAGGGCCAAGGCAGGAGGATCGTTTGAGCTCAGTTCAAGACCAGCCTGGGCAACACAACCCCTTAAGGGCACAAGGCAGAAGAGGTGCCGTACAACAGAAAAACACAAACTATACAACCAAAGACAGCGCCCATGTCTAGCTTTGATGCAGAGAGAAAGGTCAGCATTTAGAAAGGACACCAATGGGAAAAAAATGGCTAAAAATAGTCTCTGGCGTCTGTAATGACTTCAAGGGGGTCAGACATTGAACCCAAAAGACACTAAACCTGACACTATAAACAAATCCTAGAACCTGAGTCAAAGTTACCAAATAAAACACCCCTATCTTATCCAGAAAATGACTGAGAGAACATACACTGGCATGTTCACAGTAGCTCAGAACAGGAAGCTAACGAGTGTTTTCTGCATTGTGCTCACTTTTCTATAGCGAACATGCATTTTCTTTATAACTATGGGGACGGGATTGTATTTTCAAGACATACATCTATCCATTCTCTGTATTCCTTCAGAGATGTTTACTGCTCTTTAACATATTCCATAAAAATTTGGCATAAAAGGCCGGGCACAGTGGCTCACACCTGTAATCCCAGCACTTTGGGAGGCCAAGGCAGGTAATCGCTTGAGATCAGGAGTTCGAGACCAGCCTGGCCAACATGGTGAAACCCCATCTCCACTAAAAATAAAAAAATTAGCCGGGCATGGTGGCAGGCACCTGTAATCCCAGCTACTTGGGAGGCTGAGGCAGGAGAATCACTTGAACCCGGGAAGTGGACACTGTTGAAGAGGCCCAAGAGAACTTACAAATTCTATTTTAAAAAGATTTTTTTAACTTGAGTAAATGCTATGCATGAGAATGACTGGTATTTTCTCTTAACAAAGAAACTCAAAAAATATGTAAATGCTACTTCAGAGCAATTTTGATCTTAGTTTTAATCATCAGCTTGAAATAGAAAAGTCACCAAGGTCACAACTGAAGGACAATTAACGGATGACTATTTACGGTTACCAAAGCTACAAAACAGCAGAAAATATTACAGGTGCGAACAGCGTAACTGATTAGATTTCAAACTGATTAGATTTTTATTTTAGAAAATCAAAAACAAATCACAGGCTAGGCACAGTGGCTCACGCCTGTAATCCCAGCACTTTGGGAGGCCAAGGCAGTGCATCACCTAAGGTCAGGAGTTCAAGACCAGCCTGGCCAACATGGTGAAACCCCGTGTCTACTAAAAATAATGAACTGGGTGTGGTAGTGTGCGTCTGTAATCCCAGCTACTCAGGAGACCAAGAGGAGAATAGCTTGAATCCGGGAGGTGGAGGTTGCAGTGAGCTGAGATCTCCAGCCTGGGTGACAGAGCAACACTCCATCTAAAAAAATTAAAAAAATAAAAAAATTTAAGTAAATCACAGCCAAATTTCTCTTTTTGTGTCAAAACTACTATGGGATGTGTATTAATCTTGCAGCCAAAATTCCTGAGACCAACCTAGAAAAAAAATGAGAGCCCCATCTCTACCAAAGATAAAAAGTAAATCTAAAAAAAAAAAGGCCAGGTGAGGAGGTTCACACCAGTAATCCCAACACTCTGGGAGGCTCTGAGAGCCCCACGTGAAAGGATCGCTTGAGGCCAGGAGTTTGAGACCAGCCTGGGCAACAGAAGGGGACCGCATCTCCTTAAAAAAAAAAAAAACAAAGTTTAAAAAAAGAGACAGTTTAAGACATAACAACTAAATCTATATGTGATGCTTAATTAAATTATTTGCTTTGACAGTACTAGGACAACTGGTGAAATCTGAATGATATTCAAGGCTCAGGATGTAGTAACCTATCTACGTTCATTTCCTGACTAAAAGTCATACTGTGGCTACACAAGACAATGTCCTTGATTTCAGGAACAATATACACACATATGGTTGGGGATATAAGGCATCGGGTTAACAACTTCTTACCAAATTGTTCAGGAGAAAAACATTCTTTCTACCTTATCTCCAGCTCTGCTGTCAGTCCGTTATTGCCAAAAGGTGATGGTGACATTTACTCACTGTTTCAGGGTCTTCAAGGGACTCATCCAGTTCTGCATAGGACACAATGGTGTACCCTTTGCAGGCTCTCCACAACATTTTTTCAAATGCTTCCACTTTTCCTTGGTTGATTAGGCCAGACACAAATCTGTGAGGCAATAAAGTCAACCTGTAGTCAACTGAAAGCAATAAATGTTATGAAACTACATTAAAAGAATGATGAAGACTTCCATTTCTACCAAGTGGCAAATATATCCTGAAAGCCCTCTGACAGCAAAATATCTCAAGTGCTGGGTAGAATATTTTTCAAACTTCTTTTTAAATGTGTAGATGAGCTTATAATGAAGAGAAATTCTTGGCTGGGTACGGTGGCTCATGCCTGTAATCCCAGCACTTTGGGAGGCCGGGTGGATCATGAGGTTAAGAGATCGAGACCATCCTGGTCAACATGGTGAAACCCCGTCTCTACTAAAAATACAAACAAATTAGCTGGGCACGGTGGCGCGTGCCTGTAATCCCAGCTACTCAGGAGGCTGAGGCAAGAGAATTGCCTGAACCCAGGAGGCGGAGGTTGCGGTGAGCCGAGATCGCGCCATTGTGTACTCCAGCCTGGGTAACAAGAGCAAAACTCCTTCTCAAAAAAAAAAAAAAAAAAAATTCTTGGAATCTAAAAGGAAAACAGGACCTCACAGCTGTCCTGATTATGACATTGAACCCAGTATCTTAAAGCCTTATGTTAATACCAGCATGGGACGCAGGGGCCGAGAACTGGGTCTAGATAAGCTGAACAAATACGATTGACTCTCCTCTCTGGCTGGGACTGCTCCATGCACAAAGAGCTACACCTTTAGCAAACGGGTGGACTACAAAAACACCCGCCTTGCAAAGGAACCTGGAGCCGACATGTAACCTTGTTTCTTTCCATTTTGGTTCTAGATGAAGGGAGAAGTCTTCCCTAAGAATTTATAACCACAGGTTAAAATTCACTCAGGTTTGAGGCTTAAAATCCCAATGCTCAGAAAAATATAAAGGATTCCAGGTTGACAGAGCACTCCCAGGTACGTGGCAAATGTCAAAACAAATTCTCTCTGGAGAAAAACATCCTCAAACTAAACATCACTGAATTCCTTCAGATCAGGAACTGTGAAATATGAGTTCATAGTCATTTTAAAAATCACAAATCACATGAGAAAACAGGCTACCATTAGTTTTAGTAAGCAGAAAGAATAAACAGCAGCAGGAGAACTTTAAAGTAAGATTAATTTAAAAAATTAGGTCGGACACGGTGGCTCAAGCCTGTAATCCCAGCACTTTGGGAGGCCAAGGCGGGCAGATCACCTGAAGTTAGGAGTTCAAAACCAGCCTGGTCAACATGGAGAAACCATATCTCTACTTTAAAAAATACAAAATTAGCCAGGCATGGCAGTGCATGCCTATAATCCCAGCTACTTAGGAGGCTGAGGCAGGACAATCGCTTGAACCTGGGAGGCAGAGGTTGTGGTGAGCCGAGATTGTGCCATTGTACTCTAGCCTGGACAGCAAGAGCGAAACTGTCTCAAAAAAAAAAAAAAAATTAACCAATTCAGTTTAGCCACCAAGTTTCTACCAGACAGGATTTGATGCCTGAATGACCAATTGTTTTAGGCTTATAGAAGTAACACTGAATGACATAAGTGTTGTTTCTTTACAGCTCATTATACCAAAAGAATAAATTTCCATTGTATTGAGTAAAAAAGTCAATACAGCTGAGTAATTCAGTTCAACAAGTACAGTAGTACAGTGTTTTCTTAAACAACTATTCACTATCTTTCATTCAACCCTAGGCTTTAAAATGGTCCCCATTCTATTGCTATGGGAGAAAAACAAACAAACAAACAAAAAACGGTTCCCATTCATTCCCTCTATGGAGCTCATCTGCCTTTTACAAGAAGAGCAGTATGAAGCCTGACATGCCAGGCCTTGTCACCTACCCCAGTTTTGCTCCCAGCCTCTGCATACAGCTGTAATCCAACAAAGAATCATTCTCTAAGGACGGGAATTCTTCATAAGTGGGTTCAAACTAGAAAGAGACATATGAAACTAAGTGTGTTTCACTAAAAGTGATACTTTATTTCTCATGTCAAATTTCCAAACAAGTTTATAGGGCATCCTAACCAACTACTTAGATCTGGGTGCAAAGGCTTCTAAAGCAACTTAGATCCATAACTCTCATAAATAAAAAGATAACTTCCCCATCCCTTATTTGTAAGCCACTTGAAGACATTTACATAAAAGACAGTTACAGTTTAATTCACTGCCTTCATCCAAGATAGAGCAACTTTATCAAAAATCACTATTATATCAAATGAAATGAGGTTGAGAAGAGATGCACTTTTCTTTTTTTGAGACAGAGCCTTGCTCTGTAGCCCAGGCTGGAGTGCAATGATGCGATCTTGGCTTACTTGTAACCTCCACCTCCCAGGTCCCCATTCAAGCAATTATCCTGCCTCAGCCTCCCGAGTAGCTGAGAGACAGGCGCACACCACGATGACCAGCTAATTTTTGTATTTTTAGTAGAGACGGGGTTTCACCTATGTTGGCCAGGCTGGTCTTGAACGCCTGACCTTGTGATCTGCCCGCCTTGGGCTCCCAAAGTGCTGGGATTAAAGGCGTGAGCCACCGCGCCCGGTCCCAGATGCACTTTTTTATTTTATACTCAGCTCTGTAAAATGCTACTACATGGACTATTCTTTATCCTTTTTTTTTGATAGAGGGTACAGGGTCTCACTCTGTCACTCAGGCTATAGTACAGTAGCATTATCACAGCTCACTGCAGCCTCAAACTTCTGGGCTCAAGTGATCCTCTCACCTCAGCCTCCCTGGTAGCTGGGACTACAGGTGTGCACCACCACGCTCAGCTAATTTTTTATTTTTTGTATAGACAAGGTCTCATATTAATTCTATGTTCTGAACATAGAATTAACAACTATGAATTAACATAGAATTAACAACTATGTTCAGGTTGGTCTTGAACTCTTGGGCTCAAGCCATCCTCCGGCCTTGGCCTCCCAAAGTGCTGAGATTACAGTTATAAGCCACTGTATCTGACCTATTCTTAGAAATTATAAATTATTCTTTTACTTTCTTTACTTAGCAATTTGGAAAAACTAAATTTTAGAGTTCAACATCCTTCATTAAATTTATTTCCCATGCTCATAAAAATTTTTTTCAACTACAAACTAAACCATTTTATAAATATTTAGTACTGTAATTGCTAAAAACAACTAACAGGAAATGGCTCTTTAAAATTTTTTTTAAAGTCATATAATCCAACTGAAAAATAAAGTCAAGGTTTAAATTTAATCTCTTAAGGCTGGGCGTGGTGGCTCACCCCTATGGTCCCAGCACTTTGGGAGGCCAAGGTAAGTGGATCAACTGAGGTCAGGAGTTCGATACCAGCTTGGCCAACGTGGTGAAACCCCGTCTCTACTAAAAATACAAAAAATTACAGGTGTGGTGATGGGCAGTGCCTGTAATCTCAGCTACTAAGGAGGCTGAGGCAGGAGAATCTCTGAACCCGGAAGGCAGAGAATGCAGTGAGCTGATATCGTGCCACTTCAATCCAGCTTGGTCAACAAGAGCAAAACTCCATTTCGATAAATAAATAAATAAATAAATTTAATCTCTTTTAAAAAAGCAACGTATCTATATGAACTAATAGCAAAATCAAGTCTATAGACATTTTTTTTTTTTTTTGAGACGGAGTTTCGCTCTTGTTACCCAGGCTGGAGTGCAATGGCACGATCTCGGCTCACTGCAACCTCTGCCTCCTGGGTTCAAGCAATTCTCCTCCCTCAGCCTCCTGAGTAACTGGGATTATAGGCACGTGCCACCATGCCCAGCTAATTTTTTGTATTTTTAGTAGAGATGGGGTTTCACCAAGTTGACCAGGATGGTCTCGATCGCTCGACCTCGTGATCCACCCACCTCAGCCTCCCAAAGTGCTGGGATTACAGGCTTGAGCCACCACACCCGGCCTAAGTCTATAGATTTTTTAAAAAGAAATTGTATTTCCTCACGAGTCACTCAGTACCTCAACATTGCGTTTCACAAAGGTTTTTGTCACTCTCAGCATGTGAGTGTACTCAATCAGTTCCAGCAAGTTCTTCCTCAGTTTCTCCTTGTTCTTAGTGACTTCTCTCAGTTCAACCTCGAGCTTCTGCAACTGCTCCTAAAACAAAATAGTGGTTACTTAAGAGGCTGGATTAGTTCCAGTTGTGATTCCAACAATCTTCGTACAAGATACCAAAACCAGTGGCGCTTCTTTTTTTTGAGATGGAGTCTTGCTGTGTCGCCCAGGGCTGAAGTACAGTGGCGCAATCTTGGTTCACTGCAACCTCCAAGCAATTCTCCTGCCTCAGCCTTCTCTGGGTAGCTGGGATTACAGGTGTGTACCACCACACCCAGTTAAATTTTTTTGTATTTTCAGTAGAGAAGAGGTTTCACCATGTTGGCCAAGCTGGTCTTGAACTCTTGACTGTGGGAGATCGTCAGGATGGTTAGAAAGATTGTAAAATTATAGAATATAGTCAGAAACCTCCTTGGAAGGCCAAGAAGTTTGCATAGATTCAGTAAAAGTTTCGGTTGACAGCAGCCTAATTACCTTTACCTTTAGTTGATAAAAGCAAATAACTAGGGAATGTGAAGGAGTTTACCTGATAACTTGTTTACTCATGTGATCCTAAAAATAACCTTTAATCTTTCACAGGCCAGATGGCTCTCTCAAGGGGAAGGCAACCAGATTTATCACCCACAAATGGTGTTTGCTTTAGGCCTCAGAACCTGGCCTTTAATCATTATGCATGTGTGTTGACTCAGAGCCTCTGTTATTAAATCTACACTGAATAACGGCCTGGAGTGCCAGCAACTCAAGGCCAATAGCTACTATCTCTCTCAGCATTGTCTGTGAGTGGTCATGGACCCCCAGCCCACTCTTTCACTAGAGATTTATTTGAGTGAATTTGTTCATCCATCGTTAAGTCAAAGTCTGCAGGTGAGCCCCAACACTTGACCTCAGGTGATCCATACACCTTGGACTCCCAAAGTGCTGGGATTACAGGTGTGAGCCACCATGCCTGGTCCCAGTGGGGGCTTTAAAAAGCCAGAATTTATGTGAGTTTGGTAGGGATATGAAAACATGCAAAGGTTTTAAAGGCCCATTATTGGCCAGGCACAGTAGCTCACAGGCCTGTAATCCCAGTACTTTGGGAGGCCGAGGAGGGTGGATCACTTGAGGTCAGGAGTTTGAGATGAGCCTGGCCAACATGGCAAAACCCTGTCTCTACTAAAAAAAAATTAGCTGGGCGTGGTGGTGTGCATCTGTAATCCCAGCTACTCAGGAGGCTGAGGCAGGAGAATCACCTGAACCCAGGAAATGGAGGTTGCAGTGAGTGGAGATGGCACAATTGCACTCCAGCCTGGGCAACAGACCAAGATTCCTTCTCAAAATAAATTAAAAAATAAATAGAAATAAAAGCCCATTTATTGTTTTATATTAATTCAGGTAATTTTTGTGAAGTTCATGTCACATATGAGCTAAAATATTCCGGAGGCTGTGATGACCATGAGACCCCCAAGACTGGCCCTCTTCTCTATCCGCAAGTGCCATCATTTCTCACGATCTCCCTTGTCTGCTTATCTATGTCACACATCAAAGAATCCTCCTCTTTAAGTCTACATTTCTTTTTTTTGCAACACAGAATATATTTAGATAATCTTTTCTAACATATTTTCCTAGTCTCTATCACATGAATTTCTATGCAGTCACATTTACACAATTAATTGGGCATAAAAATTCATGAGAATCTGCCAGGAGCAGTGGCTCACACCTATAATCCCAGAACTTTGGTAGGCTGACACGGGTGGATCACGAGGTCAGGAGTTCAAGACCAGCCTGGCAAGATGGTGAAACACTGTCTCTACTAAAAACACAAAAATTAGCCAGGCACAGTGGCGGGCACATGTAATCCCAGCTACTCAGGAGGCTGAAGCAGGGGAATTGCTTGAACCCAGGAGGTGGACGTTGTAGTGAGACAAGATCATGCCACTGCACTCTAGCCTAGGCAACAGAGCAAGACTACACCTCAAAAAAAAAAAAAAAAAATTCATGAGAATCTTTAATAATTAGTTACATACTAAACATCATTTAAAATACTTAAACACTGCTGGGCGCAGTGGCTCATGGCTATAATCCCAGCACTTTAGGAGGCCAAGATGGAAAAATCACAAGGTCAAGAGTTTGAGACCAGCCTGGCCAATATGGTGAAACCACATCTCTACTAATAATACAAAAATTAGCTGGGCATGGTGGCACACACCTGTAGTCCCAGCTACTCGGGAGGTTGAGGCAGGAGAATCGCTTGAACCCAGGAGGCAGAGGTTGCAGTGAGCCGAGATCGTACCACTGCACTCCAGCCTGGGTGACAGAGTGAGACTTTGTCTCAAAAAAAAAAAAAAAAAAAACACACAAGTATTAAAACAACAGAAGCAAAAATCTGTAAAGCAAATCACTGAGTCAATGAAAACTTGTATTCAAAAAACCACTTAACATACTACATTCATTACTTCTGCTTTGCCTTACACTGTACACAGTCATCACTATGTTTGTAATTATATCACAACCAACCCATCAAACAGGCCAAGCCAGATGACTGCTTTTACTCATCTGGTTGGAGGGCTCTCTCTGGAGTCTCCTCATGTGCTGAATGACTTCATCTCAGATAAACAAACAGAGGAGGCAGCAATTGAATGGCTTCAGTTATACAATGATAATTGTATTAGAAGAGATATTAAGAGCTCTGGCCTAGTTCACAGGGTGAGGAAGGAATTCACGGGGCAGGGGATACTAATAAACAGCACAGGTAAGTGCTCTCACCGGGGACACCTGTATCCCCAGCACATCAGCCAGGGAACTCAGGGTGACAGAATGCTACTTGCTGTGTCCCCCCAAGACAACCCACAGATTGCATACCAGCTTCCAAAAATTAGAGCGGGGAGGGCCAAGGTGAATGTAGGAGGGCTGTGAAGGCACACGACTGAAGCCTTAATTCCTTGCACAAGAAGAGGCAGCTAAGGCATGGGTGACCCTGGGATGAACTTTCTGAAACAGTAAAGATCATGAACCAGGCTTGATGGCCTGATTCTTGTTGCCTCTGTTCACCACCACCTGGATAGTACTCACATGCCTTACACTATAAAAGAAAACTGAATTACCATTAAAATTTATCACAGATAATCTATTACTGAGGGTTAATCATGATAGTGGTCTTTAATCTCTCTGCCTAGAGAGATCACCATTTTCCATGGTTTTGAGAAGAAAGGCAGAAAAACATCAGACAACATAAAATAAGTAAGCAGCCCTGAGATCAATGGCTGCAAATCGCTTTTTCAGAAGCAAGTTACCTGCATTTCCAGAACCTGTTTCAGGGGTGGCGCAGGAGGGCTGGCCTCTCCTTCAGGAAGGGGAATATCCGCTCTATTAATTTCCTGGACCAAATACACTGTGAAAATAAAAGTTAAACAGTTAGATACTAAAACATACTAAAACACTTTTCAGTCAGAAACGTTTTAAATCCCAGCCTTTCCCAGGTCAAATACAAATCAATGTCTAAATGTACAAAAATCTTGATTGCTCCAAGTGACTTCTTGGTCACTTTTGGCAATCTTGTTTCCAAAAACAATGCTGCCTAGAGATCTGCTGCAGAGACAAAATAAACAACAACCTCTTCTATTTCCTAGTGATTTTAAAAAAAGAATTAACAACAATCTGGATAAACCTTTTCTGAAATCCCCCCCCCATTTTTTCATTTCTAATATTCTAGTTAAAGAACTTTTGAGTCAGCTGTCTCTACATCTGCAGAATGAAGCAGAGGTTGGGGAACACTGGCAAGCGTAGGAATAACCCAAGTGACAGACCCACAATAGCCCCCACAGAAGCTGGCAATGTGAGTTCTCTGCAGATGCCCTCAGAAAGAGATGGGCATCCACCAATCCATCGAGAAAATCACAACCACTACCCGGAAACCAACCCAGCACCAAGAGCCAGGCACTCTTGCAATTCCCAGTCAGCCCTGAGGCTGTGGCTGAGGACAGCTTGAACTGCTTTACCACTGAAGTTAAAAACTAGATTCAGGAGCTAGGCTGGGTCTTCCACTCGCTGCCATCCACAGCCTGTGGGAGCAAGTGTCAGGGTGGCTCTAAAAATGGGCAAGTTCATGAAACCCGAGAAAGTGGTGCCAGTCGTGGCCAGATACTACTCTGGACACAAAGCCAGTCCTCGTGAAGAACACTGATGATGGCACCTCAGACCGCCCCTGCAGCAACATTTTCTGGTTGACGTATTTATTTGGTTAATGTGCCCTCCCCGATCCCCGTAAATTCCAAAAGGACTCCAAGAGGCCTTTGTGGGATTTCATCTCCCACTGAGTTTGGTGCCCCGAGCTGATGAAGACCACACAAAGGCGATCCTAACTAAACGGGGCAGAGCAGCCGCGGACCACACAGACAGCCGGCAACTCTGGGATCAGCTGCCATGGGCAAGAAGATTGCCAAGAGGTCAAAGATCAAGTCTTCTGTGAAGGTTTATAACTATAATGACCTCATGCCCACAAGGTACCCTGTGGAAATCCCGTTGGACAAAACCATTAGGGTCTTCAGAGACCCTGCTCTTAAACGCAAGGCCCAACAGAAGATCAAGTTCAAAGAATGGTACAAGACTGGCAAGTGGTACAAGAAGTGGCACAAGACTGGCAAGAACAGGTGGTTCTTCTAGAAGCTGTGGTTTTACATGTTTCTTGTTTCGGTCATTAAAAATAAAATTAAATTAAAAAACTAGATTCATGAAACTAATAGTACGCCAGCCAAAATTAACTACTTTATTTGGTTTACGTTTTCAATTCCATGAAGCATCCCCTTCCTTAGGATAAAAGTAATAACAACTGCTAGTCATTATCAGGCCTAATATTTAGAAGTGTTACTAATTAGTTTAAAGAGGGAGAGAGGCAGGTAAAGAAGGAAGGAGAAAAAAAAAAGAAATTACGTCTTACCAAGATAGCAAAGGAAACAACTGGTCAGGAGTTTAAGCGGTTTAATATTTAAGAGATTTCTAGAAATGAATGCAAATTGTTTTAACCAATTTATATTTGAATTTATTCTTTTTTTTTTAAGAGACAGGGGTCTCACTAGGTTGCCCAGGCTGGCCTCGAACTCCTGGGCTCAAGAGAGCCTCCTGCCTCTGCCTTCAGAGTAACTGAGACTACAGACATGTACTCCACCATGCCTAGCTTACACCGAAATTTGAGGAGCCTTTTTTTCCCTTTTTTTTGAGACGGAGTTTTGCTCTTGTTACCCAGGCTGGAGTGCAATGGCGCGATCTCGGCTCACCGCAACCTCCGCCTCCTGGGTTCAGGCAATTCTCCTGCCTCAGCCTCCTGAGTAGCTGGGATTATAGGCACACACAACCATGCCCAGCTAATTTTTGTATTTTTAGTAGAGACGGGGTTTCACCTTGTTGACCAGGATGGTCTCGATCTCTTGACCTTGTGATCCACCTGCCTCGGCCTCCCAAAGTGCTGGGATTACAGGCTTGAGCCACCGCGCCTGGCCTTTTTTTCCTTTTTTAAGTCTATATTCTTATGGGGTTGCACTCTGCTGCCCAGACTGGAGTACAGTAGTATGTCATCCTGGCTCATGGTAACCTCAAATTCCCGGGCTCAAGCAATCCTCCCACTCCAGTCTCCCAAGTACCAAAGACAGGCACATGCCACCTTGCCTGGCTAATTTTATTTTTTATGGAAACAGGGTCTCAGTATGTTGCCCAGAATGGTCTCAAACTCCTGGACTCAAGTGATCTTCCCACCTTGGCCTCCCAAAGTGCTGGAATTACAGGCGTGAGCCATCACGTCCGCCCTGCATTCTTTTGAAACAGTTTAAGCTACAGGAAGTCCTAGTATGCCAAATGTTATCACTTCTGCCCTGCCTTTAAAATCCTCATTCTAAATACACCATCTGTCCAATGACTCACCCAGGTTGCAAAGACCGGAATATGATGCCACTAACATAGCCACAAGTCATGCAAATAACTAGGACCTCAAGCAATATGAATCGGACTAGATTTCAGATGACTAAAATTTCCTGTTACTCTTTTTTTTTTGAGACAGAGTTTCACTCTCGTTACCCAGGCTGGAGTGCAATGGCGCGACCTCGGCTCACCGCAACCTCCGCCTCCTGGGTTCAGGCAATTCTCCTGCCTCAGCCTCCCGAGTAGCTGGGATTACAGGCACGTGCCACCATGCCCAGCTAATTTTTTGTATTTTTAATGGAGACGGGGTTTCACCATGTTGACCAGGACGGTCTCGATCTCTTGACCTTGTGATCCACCCGCCTCGGCCTCCCAAAGTGCTGGGATTACAGGCTTGAGCCACCGCACCCGGCTCCTGTTACTCTTAAAAATCCCCAACCTAAAAAAATAGACCGGGCATAGTGACTCACACCTGTAATCCCAGCTGGAAGACCAAGGTGGGTGGATCACTTGAGGTTAGAAGTTCAAGACCAGCCTGGCCAACATAGCGAAACCCTATCTCTACTGAAAATACAAAAATTAGGTGTGATGACACACACCTATAGTTCCAGCTACTCGGAGGCTGAGGCAGGAGAATCACTGGAACCCAGGAGGTGGAGGCTGCAGTGAGCCGAGATCACACTACTGCACTCCAGCCTGGGTGACAAAGGGAGACTCCATCTCAAAAAAAAACAAAAAAACAAGCTTTGTACTTCAGTCCACTGTCTGTCATTTTCCCTCCACTTCAGTGAGAATCTCAAGGCTTGATTTGATAATGACTAATATCAGGCTAAGATCATAAAGATTTTAGAGATAAAAGAAGTAGCCCTGGGCTACTGCGTTTAAATGCTTAATAATCAGAGAGTACCCACCTAACACATTGGCAAAGGAAGCCCCCAGAAAAAGGAAATTATTGTCAACCCATCTATCTGCCATTTCCTACCTCCCTTGTTCCTTGATAAAATTTTAAATTAGGAAATATATTAACATGTACAATGTTTTTAAGTTATAATAAACTACAAGGGATTGGTTAAATAAGTCACGGCACACTAATATTAATGCAATCAAATACTATGCTCCCATCAAAAACAATGACGGGTCAAAATCTGTCTACTGACATGAAAAGATGTTAGAGTAAACACTGTTAACTAAAAAACAAGAGTGACAACAAAATAATCTGGCCGTTATGTTTGTAAATCTTTACTTTTATAGATGAATAATAAAAAATGCAGAAAAATAATACTGCATAATTAGAGGTAATTCATAACTATGATTACCTCTAAATGATGAAAATACAATTTCTTTTTTCCTTTCTGCTTGCCTATATTTTCTAATATTTCTAAACTGAACAAAGTTTGCCTATATAAAGGTAATTATTTAAGTTATTAAATCAGAAAATAAACTTACCCAATATTCGCTCTAGCTCTTCACACCTCTTCACCTCACCAACAAATTTTCTTTGGAAAGAACTTACATTCTGGTTCAGCTGAGAAAAGAATGAAAAATATGGTTTAAATTTCTTTCTTTCTTTCTTTCTTTCTTTGAGACAGAGTCTTGCTCTGTCACCAGGCTAGAGTACAGTGGCGTGATCTCGTCTCACTGCAGCCTCCACTTCCCAGGTTCAAACAAGTCTCCTCTCTCAACTTCCTGAGTAGCTGGGACTACAGGTGTGCACCACCATACTCAGCTAATTTTTTTTTTTTTTTTGGGGGGGGACGGAGTTTCGCTCTTGTTACCCAGGCTGGAGGGCAATGGCGCGATCTCGGCTCACCGCAACCTCAGCCTCTTGGGTTCAAGCAATTCTCCTGCCTCAGCCTCCTGAGTAGCTGGGATTACAGGCACGCGCCACCATGCCCAGCTAATTTTTTGTATTTTTAGTAGAGATGGGGTTTCACCATGTTGACCAGGATGGTCTCAATCTCTCGACCTCATGACCCACCCGCCTCCGCCTCCCAAAGTGCTGGGATTACAGGCTTGAGCCACCGCGCCCAGCTTAATTTTTTTGTATTTTTAATAGAGACAGGGTCTCACCATATTGTCTAGCATGGTCTCAATCTCTTGACCTCGAGATCTGCCCACCTCGGCCTCCCAAAGTGCTGGGTTTACAGGCATGTTCCACTGTGCCCGACCAAAAAATATGGTTTAAATTTCTAAACTTTAAAAATACTTTCATGTAAAAAATAAAACACTGGCAAAGTTTAGGGGAAGTACACTCTCATAGACTATTAAATGGGACCATAAACTGTCGCAACTTTTCTGGAGAGCAATTTGTCAACTATTATCAAAAAAGCCTGAAAATCCAGCCTGGCCAACATAGTAAAACCCCAACTCTGCTAAAAATACAAAAATTAGGCTGGGCACATGGCTCACACCTGTAATCTCAGCACTTTGGGAGGACGAGATGGGGAGGTCACCTGAGGTCAGGAGTTCAAGACCAGCCTGGCCAACATGGTGAAATCTCGTCACTACAAAAATACAAAAATTAGCCAGGCACGGTGGCAGGTGCCTGTAATACCAGCTACTCAGGAGGCGAGGCAGAATAATTGCTTGAACCCAGGAGGTGGAGGCTGCCGTGAGCTGAGATCGTTCCACTGCACTCCAGTCTGGGCAGCAAAGCAAGACTCTGTCTCAAGAAAAAAAAAAGAAAAATCAGCCGGGTGTAGTGGTGCACATCCATAACCCCAGCTACTTGGGAGGCTGAGGCACGAGAATCGCTTAAGCCCGAGAAGCAAAGCTTGCAAGGAGCCAAGATTGCGCCACTGCACTCCAGCCCAGGTGGCAGAGCGAGACCTTATCTCAAAAAAAAAAAACTCCTGAAAATCATTCTTTGCCCAGCAGTATCATATGAAGAAATTTAACCTAAGGAAAATGCTATGGATACAGACAAATACTTATCTATGACAACATCAATCTCTGGGAAAAAGAAAAAATGATAACCCAAAATTCTAACAATAGAAAAAACTGGTCTTTAACATTACAATCAGCACAGTTAAAGAAATTATAGCCAGGCACAGCGGCTTGCACTGATCATCCCAGCACTTTGGGAGACTGAGGTGCGAGGACTACCTGAGGCCAGTAGTTTGAGACCAGCCTAGGCAACATAGTGAGACACCATCTCTACAAAAACAAAAAATTAGCCAGGCCTGGTGGCACATGCCTGTGGTCCCAGCTACTCAGAAAGCTGTAGTAGGAGGGTCGCTTGACCCCAGGAAGTTGAGACTGCAGTGAGCAGTGATCACACCACTGTAATCTAGCCTGGGTGAGAAAGCATGAGCCTGTCTCAAAATAAATAAATAAATGTCTATATCCACACAATGGAATGCTACTTAGCAATAAAAAGGGATGAACTACTGACCCATGCAACAACAGGGATGACTGTCCTTTCTTCTTTTTTTTTTTTTTGAGGCAGAGTCTCACTCAGTCACCCAGGCTGGAATGCAGCAGCAGGATCTTGGCTCACTGCAACCTCCACCTTCTGGGTTCAAGCGATTCTCTTGCCTCACCTTCCCAAGTAGCTAGGATTACAGATGTGAACCACCAGCCTGGCTAATTTTTGTATTTTTAGTAAAGATGGGGTTTCACCATGTTGGCCAGACTGGTCTCAAATTCCTGACATCAGGTGATTCACCCGCCCGCCTTGGTCTCCCAAAATGCTGGGATTACAGGTGTGAGCCACTGGGCCTGGCCTGGATGACTTTCATACTAAGTGAAAGAAGCCAGACACAAGAGGACACATACTGTGTGATTACACTTATATGTAATGTCCAGAAAAGGTAACCCTACAGGCAGCCAGCAGATTAGTGGGTGCTAGGGCTAGAGATCGGAATAAGGATTAACTATAAATGGGCATGAGGGATCTTTTGGGGTGATGAAATGTTCTAAAATGATTGTGGCAATGGATGCATGACTCCATAAACTTACTTTATTTTTTATTTTTGAGACAGGGTCTCAATCTGTCGCCCAGGCTGGAGCCCAGTGGCACAATCTCAGCTCACTGCAACCTTCACCTCCCACGCTCAATCGATTCTCCTGCCTAAGCCTCCCGAGTAGCTGGTATTGCAGGCACGTGCCACCATGCCCGGCTAATTTTTGTATTTTGGGTAGAGACAGGGTTTTGCCATGTTGCTCAGGCTGGTCTCAAACTCCTGACCTGGTGAACTGCCCACTTCAACCTCACAAAGTGCTGGGATTACAGGTCTGAGCCACTGCACCCAGCCTCCATAAACTTTCTAAAAATCATAAACTCCACAATACACCTCAATTAAGTTGTATAAAAATTATGGTTCTGACATACAATTGATGACTGCACTTATTATTATTATTATTATTTTTTTTTTTAGATGGAGTCTTGCTCTGTCACTAGGCTGGAGTGCAGTGGCTCAATCTCAGCTGACTGTAACCTCCGCCTCCTGGGTTCAAGCGATTCTTCTGCCTCAGCCTCCCGAGTAGCTGGGACCACAGGCGTGTGCCACCATGCCCAGTTAATTTTTTAATATTTTTAGTAGAGACAGGGTTTCACCATGTTGGCCAGGATGGTCTCGATCTCTTGACCTCATGATCCACCCACCTTGGACTCCCAAAGTGCTGGGATTACAGGCATCAGCCACCGCACCCAGCTGACTGCACTTATTAAAAATGATGTTTTAAATGACCAGGTATTTGATATTATATTAAGAAATGTGTTATTTAAATTTTCAGGTCCAATGTTGGTAATAATTTTTTATCTTTTAGGCCAGGCACAGTTGCTCACGATTGTAATCCCAGCACTTGGCTCCCTTGGGGAGCCAAGGTGGGTGGATCACTTGAGGTCAGGAGTTCAAGACCAACCTGCCCAACATGGTGAAACCCAGTCTCTACTAAAAATACAAAAATTTGGCAGGCATGGTGGTGTGCGCCTGTAACCTCAGCTGCCTACAATCTCAGCTGCTGGGGAGGCTGAAACCCAAGAATCACTTGAACCTGGGAGGCAGAGGTTGCAGTGACCTGAGATTGCACCACTAGCCTGGCCAACAGAGTAAGACTCCATCAAAAAAAAAATTATCTTTTAAAGATACTTATTGAAAAGTGAAATTATGTATCTTGGATTTACTTCAAAATGATCTAGTCTGGGAGGTGAGAAAAAAACTAAGTTTACATTATGAGTACATCAGGGTACACTGTACTCTTCCCTCTACTTCTTATGATACGAAGTTTAAAGCAATTTTAAAAAGTTGTAAAAGAACATTTAATAAAATTAGGAAGTTAGTCATGTTTTCTATGTAAAGTAGATTAGGATCTTTTCGATGTGGTTCCAATTACATTAAAATACACAAATATGGGCTGGGGGCAGTGGCTCACGCCTATAATCCCAACACTTTGGGAGGCCGAGTCGGGTGGATCACCTAGGTCAGAAGTTCGAGACCAGCCTGACCACCATGGAGAAATGCTGTCTCTACTAAAAATACAAAATTAGCCAGGCAGGGTGGCGCATGTCTGTAATCCCAGCTACTCAGGAGGCTGAGGTAGGAGAATCACTTGAACCCAGGAGGTGAATGTTGTGGTAAGCTGAGATCATGCCATTGCACTCTAGCCTAGGCAACAAGAGTAAAACTCCATCTCAAATATATATACATATATAAAGATAGATATGGACATTTTTAAACATTATTAGAGAAGTGTTGATCGTCCAATATTAGCCAAAAAAGCTAAGGTTTATTTCTAGACCCTGGGATCATACAAGATATGTTGTTCTTCTTACATTTTCCACACCTCTCACAATGGACATCTATTATTTTTATACTTTAAAAATGTACAGTAATCATTCACGTTGAAAGCCCTTTAAGACATGAAATGTATCTTTATTCCACCCAGGATTTGTACTGGGCACTCTCAAGACACAATTAAGATACAACTTAACACGAAACTACTCAACCTGGTAAGTGTCTACTCCAAATGCTCAGTTCTTGTTCCATTTCTTTTGGATTTTTTTTTTCTTTTTTTTTTCTTTTTGAGAAGGAGTTTCGCTGTTGTTACCCAGGCTGGAGTGCAACGGCAGGATCTCGGCTCACCGCAACCTCCGCCTCCTGGGTTCAGGCAATTCTCCTGCCTCAGCCTCCTGAGTAGCTGGGATTACAGGCACGCACCACCATGCCCAGCTAATTTTTGTATTTTTAGTAGAGACGGGGTTTCACCTTGTTGACCAGGATGGTCTCGATCTCTTGACCTCGTGATCCACCCGCCTCGGCCTCCCAAAGTGCTGAGATTATAGGCATGAGCCACGGCGCCCAGCCTGGATTTTTTTTAAAGAATTAACCAGAAGAAAGATAAAAATTCTAATTTCACTTCTGTTTGTCACCTTCTCATTCATTTTTGGAGTTCAAACTACTCTAAAGCAACCGCTTCCCAGTTCCTAATGATTCAAACACAATCTATTTCTATAGAAGTGAGAAACTGGAAGGGAAGCTGGCATCTAAAGCTGTCAGAGGATGCTACTTTTCAGTTTCCATTTTCTCCCTTCAATATCAAATAGTATTAACTCTAAATGGACATAATCATTCCACAAGCAGTAGAATCTTTTTTAAAAAGAGGTAAATTTCTATGGCAATAATACAAACATGGATTTGACATACACTACCATCACCAACTTACATATATTAACTTTTTTTTTTCTATTGCATGGTTTCTTGACTAATTCTGGTTTTTTTTTTCCTTTCAGGGCAGCACCCTAATTCAAGGTTAATGGTATAAGGTATATTTTAACGTAGATTCAATTTAAGGCACATTTAACCTAGTAAAACCAGCAGAGGAGACCTGGTGCTGTTTATCCTGATACACCACTGATACTCCCACTTCGGCTGAAGGGCTAAAGAGGAAACCTGTTCTAAGACTGAGAACTGTTAGAAGTGAGAACTTTCCCTTCAGGGAATCCTCCCCATCAGCTGAATGACCTTGCTTTTCCAGGCCTTCCCACTAGGAAACAGCCCACAGACACACTGCAAACCTAGCACCACACAAGAGCTCATCACAGTGACTGTAGTTTTATTTCCTTCTGGAAAAAGATGAACAACACTTTCTTCTCCTTTCACTGACATTCAGTCAAAAAGGATCCTGGGTGCACTCTACGAGCGGAGGTAGTGGCGCTTAATGAAACTGGAACTTTCATAGTGATTAGAGCATTTGCTCAAACTTCTAAGATTGAAGTGTGGTAAGTGTACTTACCAGGGTACTAACCAGATGGAAAACATCCACCTGCTACAAACATCTACCTGCTACTGTGCCTGCAACTGTTGCCTGAATCTTTGGGTGCTACTCACAGCTCAGCGCAGCATCCACCAGGTGAATGGGTGCAACCTGCAGAAACCCAAGTGGCTCCAGGAACCTGGAACCGACCTGCACCCTCGCCTGTCACTCAGGAGTTTTTCCATGACTTCAACTGCCTTATGGGGTTGATCTGCTATTAGATATCTTATATCAACTGATATCGGATCTGGGGTAGGGCTCTTCCCTTTTGAAATTAAGGATCCCTCAGGAAGAAACAGGAGATCAAAGTGGTGGCCAGGAAATAAAATGTTCGCCTGAGTGGATTTCAATTCAGTCAGTACGGACTTGCTTCACTTCACGGTCTCCCTTCCACACCCTGTTCTTTGCCTTCTTAGCACTTATCATAGCTCATAATCAGAGTGTGTTTAATCTGTCTCCTCCCACACCAGGCGCTCCAGGAACACGGGGACTGTGTGTGCCTTGCTCACCACCGAGTCCCCAGCACCAAAAACAGTGCCTGAACATAGCAGGCAGTCAAGAAAGACTTGTCTGTTCATTCCACAAATGCCTACTGATGCCAATAACTGCCAAGGACTGTGCTAGGCTCCTTACCCTCAGAGGTTGACAGTCCCTGGTGGAGGTAAACAATAAACAAGCAAATGGACAAACAAATGTTTATTACTTGTAGGGGAGACAGCTTCCATTCGACAAATAATGCCTGAGTTTTTAAGTCCTTACAAACATGCATCAGTGACCAAAACAGACAAAAATCCCTCTCCTCAAGGAGCTACCACTCAGCTCCTTCCCATTTCAGGCCCTGTCTGTGCTCGTCCTGTTCCCTCCAACAAGGACCCTCTCCCCAGATCTTCCCCAAGGCTGGCTCCTTTCTATTTCGGCCTCAGCTGAAATATCACCTTCTCCAGGAGGCCTTCCTTGACTACCCCTTCAAACGCACCTCCCACCAGAATCACCTTCACACCATCCTTTTTTTTTCTTTATAGCAAACATTTTCTGGTTGACATTTTCTGATTTATTTGGTTAATGTGCCCTTCCCAACCCCCGTAAATTCCAAAAGGACTCCAAGAGGCCTTTGTGGGATTTCATCTCCCGCTGAGCTTGGCGCCCCGAGCTAATGAAGACCACACAGGGGCGATCCTAACTAAACCGGGCAGAACAGCCGCGGACCACACAGACTGCCGGCAACTCTGGGGTCAGCCCCGCGCTCTGGGAAGCTCTGGCCGCCGAGCTGGGGCGCCAGCTTCCCAGGCTGGGCAATGGGGACGGGGCGCGCCCTTCCCCAGCGCTCGCGGCGGGAGAACCCCAGCGACCCGCGGGATGGGGAGCGCCAGGAGGGCAGGTGCGGCCCGCGTCTCCCGGGCGACACTCACGTCTCGGAACTGGACCAGGCCCTTCTCGCCCAGGGCGCTGAGGCACTCGTAGGCCGTGCCCGACTGCAGGAAGAGCTGCGCCAGGCACATGGTCTCGCTCCGGAACAGGGACCCCATGGCCCGCCGGCCCGCGCCCGGAGAGGCTCGACGGGCGGCGGAGGTTCCGAGCTGCACGGGCCCGCACACTCAGCCGGCGCAGACCGGGCCTCGAACTCTTCCAGTGGCCTGGACGCCGCCCCGCACCATGGGGCTCCAGGATGCAGCGGCCGCCTCCGATTTCGCCACCGCGGATACAGCGCCAGCCGCCGCCACAGCGGCCCGCGAAGCCCCGCCCCCGAGCGACCGCCGGTTCCGGTTCCTCCCCCGCGCCCCGCCCCCCGCCGGCCTACCAATGGGCGCCCGAGGTTGCGGCCCCACGCCGTGGCGTAAGGGCCAACCAGCGGGAAACCCGGCGGGGACTATCGCGGGTGCTGGCTCTCAGCGGGACCCGACGCAGCGCTGCAGCCCGCGCGGACTCCCGGCTTTGCTGGACGAGTCTCGCCGAGTGTACATGCCACGAAGCTCACCCGTTCCGAGTGCACGACCCTGTACTGCTGCTTTTTTTTTTTTTTTTTGAGACGGAGTCTCGCTCTCGCCCAGGCTGGAGTGCAGTGGCGCGATCTCAGCTCACTGCAACCTCCGCCTCCCGGGTTCAAGCGATTCTCCTGCGTCACCCCGCCAAGCAGCTGGGACTACAGGCGCACGCCAACGCATCCAGCTAATTTGTTTGTATGTTTAGTGAAGGCTGGGTTTCACCATGTTGTCCAGGCTGGTCTGAACTCCTAACCTCAGGTGATCCACTTGCCTTGGCCTCCCCAAATGCTTGGGATTACCGGCGTGAGCCACCGCTACCGGACGTGCTGCTGCTTTTTTTGGACAGGGTCTCCCTCTGTGGCCCAGGCTGGCGTGCAGTGGCGCGAGCTCGGCTCACTGCAACCTTGACCTCCTGAGCTCAAGCGGTCCTCCCACCTCAGCCACTGGAGGAGCTGGGATTACAGACACAGGCCACCACCCCAGGCTAATTTTTTTTTTATTATTATTTTTTTAATTTGTAGAGAAGGGGTTTCAGTATGTTGGCCAGGGTGGTCTCAAACTCCTGAGCTCAAGCAATCCTCCCACCTCGGCCTCCCAAAGCCCTGGGATTACAGGCGTGAGCCGCCGCCTGGCTAGATCCTTGGCTCCTTCGTGAAGTTGGAGTGTGCAGCCAGCATCCCAATCCAGTTTTCAGACATTTCCCACTGACCTCAAAAGAATACTCCCGCCCAGTGGCAGTCTCCCCTTCCCACCCAGCCCGGCCACCACAGGGCAATTTTGTCTCGATAGATTTGCCAGTTCCAGGCTTGTCCTGTGGAGGCAGTCACACAGCACCCAGTGTTCCTGCACTGACTAGGAAGCAGGGGCCCTCCACAGCCGCAACCTCACCAATGGCCCAGTTGAGACTCTGCTCATATGTCCCCTCCCTTGAGACTGTCTCTGACCCCTCTACTATGGAGTCACATCCTTGTTCTATTTCCTTCACAGCACCCGCCACCATCTGAAATTATCTCGTCTGTGTTAGCGCCAGTCCTTCCTGCTAGGATGGAAGCTCCACCAAAGGAGGAACATTGTTTCGGCCACTGTGGCATCTCCAAGCCCCAGTACATAGTAGCCACTCAATAAACAGTTCATGAATGCATGCATATATGTATAAAGTTAGAAAAGTGAAAACCATAGAGTAGGCACCCCAGATCCCATTCTACTGCCAAACTCAGTGCTTTCCCTCTTTTGAGTACAAAGGGCATCCTCACAAAGCCCACAAAATCAGGCTAAATTACCTGTCATTTGGAAGCTTTAAGTGTATTTTCTATAAATATCTGAAATCCAAAGCTAGTTACACTAGGCTGGGTACCCAGCCTCACTCCTGTAATCCCAGCACTTTGGGAGGCTGAGGAGGGTAGATCACTTGAGGTCAGGAGTTCGAGACCAGCCTGGCCAACATGGCAAAACCCCTTCTCTACTAAAAAAATACAAAAATTAGCCAGGTGTGGTGGTGGCCACCTATAGTCTCAGCTACTCAGGAGGCTGAGGCAAGAGAATCGCTTGAACCTGGGAGGTGAAGGTCACAGTGAGCCAGGATCGCGCCACTGCACTCCAGACTGGGTGACAAAGCGAAACTCTGTTTCAAAAGAAACCACCAACAACAAAAGATAACAGTAAGAACTGTGAAGGTGAATTAAAATGGCTTAAGTTCAGACAATAATTGACTTAGACCCCAACTCCATGAGTCCAGTACTGACCCAGATTCCTGAGTCAGCCCTAGTGAGGTTAGGTGAAGGCCCAACACCACCACAGAAAAGATGCTGAAATTAACAGTGTTTCCAACATGAAGAAACTTATGACCTCTGCAATGACTAGCTCATCCTCCTGTTTGAAAATGGACTTAAGACTGCAGGAAAATCTAAAATTCCCCCCTGTGCAGGAACTCTGTAGTAAAGATGAAACAGCACATTTTATATGGTGCTGGGTAACAGCAGGCACTAGGAATTCAATCAAAAACCATAAAAGAGAAAATAATCAGTTTTCAAAATTAGGCTTAATTAACATACAAAATCCATCTGAAACAACTGAATTACCTGGCACACAAAGAAAACTTACAGGTGATGTGCTATGTGACTACTGTAGGACCATGGCTAAAAACATCTATTCCAGGGCCACTATAATCCCAGCGCTTTGGGAGGCTGAGGCAGGCAGATCATTTGAGCCCGGGAGTTCAAGATCAGCCTGGATAACACAGGGAGACTGTCTTCTCTACAAAAAAAAAAAAAAAAAAAAAAAAAATACAAAAACTAGCCAGGTACATGCCTGTGTTCCCAGCTACTTGGGAAGGATCACTTGAGCTCATGAAGTTGAGGCTGCAGTGAGCTGCAATTGGGCCACTGCACTCCAGCCTGGGTAACAGAGTTAAGATCATTCCTCGAAAAGAAAAAATCCATTCTCCCCACCATGTGGGTTTGACTGTCTCCATATGAGGAGCCGTGGGAGAAATTTGTCAAGACTCAGCTAGGAAAAACTATCTTTCATTGATAACCAGTTGATTTTTAATGAATGGATCTCATAATTCCTAGAGCTAATCATACTTGGGTATTCGTAAACTGGGGTCTTGGCAGGCCATGGTAGCTCATGCTGGTAATCCCAGCATTTTGGGAGGCTAAAGTGGGAGGATCGCTAAAGTAAGGCGTTTCAGACCAGGATGGGCAACATAGCAAGATCCCATCTCTACTGAAAAAAAAAATAGCCAGGCGTGGTGGCACACGCCTGTAGTCCTAGCTACTTGGGAGGCAGAGGCAGGAGAATCGTTTAAACTCAGGTGTTTCGGTTTACAGTGAGCTGTGATCGTGCCACCACACTCCAGCCTGGGCAACAGGCTGGAGGGAGAACCTGTCTCTAAAAATAAATAAATAAATAACGAATTAGGGGTGTGCCTGTGCTAAATGCAACCTTTGGCATATATTTCAGGGGCTTACACGTGCCCCTGGTTTTGTTTTACTTTTCTCCCTTTATTATTTTCCTTCCCTGGTCCCCGCATCTTTCCCCATCAATTATTCTTGCATTGTATTTCCCCATCAATTGTTTTTGTATTATATGCATTTTTAAGGATTTCTGAACTCCTTCTTTGGAATATGGGAAACATCAATCAACACGAATGTATTAAAAATTAAAGACTGATTCTCTCTGGTATAAATAAAACTCCCGTAACTTTAAGTAATTTGTGATAAGCTAAAATTGCTAACATTTCTTGAGTTCTTCTCACGCATTTTACTCAGTCCAGGACAGCGATGAGAATGTTCATTCTGCATTGTTTGGAACATCTGGATGTCTACATATATGAATTAAAGTCACAGGGCACTTAATAAAAATGTTCTACAAAAATGAGACATTTCATTTTTTTAGAAAAGCACACAAGACTACAGCAAATCACTGAAGTCAAGGTCTAGAGTCTTTAAGAAGTCAGATGGGCCAGTCGCAGTGGCTCACGTCTGTGATCCCAGTACTCTGGAAGGCTGAGGTGGGCAGGTCATTTGAGCTCAGGAGTTACAGACCAGCCTGGGAAATGTGGCAAAACCCCATCTTTACCAAAAATACAAAAAAAAAAAAAAAAAAAAAAAAAAGGTGTGGTGGAGCATCTGTGCTCCCAGCTACTCAGGAGGCTGAGGTGGGAGGATTGCTTGGGAGGCAGAGGGTTGCAGTGGGCCAAGACTGCGACGCTGCACTCCAGCCTGGGTGACAGAGTGAGACCCTGTCTCAAAAAGAAAAAAAAAAAAAAGTCAGGTGGTTGTCTAACTACAGGCTCTGCATATTCTGGTCCAGGGGTTGCTGAGGAACAGGGCCAATGTGAGGAATGACAGCAACAGTAAGCCCTTGGCAACACATTGAGAATACGGCTCCCCTGAAAAACAATGGACAAAATTAAGCAGCAGTATTTCTTAACTCTTTGATAACAGCATAGGAATAGGCTAGGTGCAGTGGGCCTCACGCCTGTAATCACAACACTTTGGGAGGCCACAGAGGGCAGATCACTGGAGGCCAGTTTGGGACTAGCCTGGCCAACACAGTGAAACCCCATCTCTACTAAAAATACAAAAATTAGCCAGGTGTGGTGGTGCTGTAATCCCAGGTACTCCAGAGGCTAAGGCACGAGAGTCATCTGAACCCAGGAGGCAGAGGTTGCAGTAAGACCAGGTTGTGCCACTGCATTCCAGCCAGGGTGACAGAGCAAGACCCTGTCTTAAAAAAAAAAAAAAAAAAAAAATGTAGTAGAAATAAACTAGGCCAAAACAGTAATGGTGATCACTTCTAAGTGGCAATATTATCTGTAAATTTTGTTTTAAGTTTCTTTTTTTTTTTTTTTTTTTTTTGAGACGGAGTTTCACTCTTGTTACCCAGGCTGGAGTGCAATGGCGCGATCTCGGCTCACCGCAACCTCCGCCTCCTGGGTTCAGGCAATTCTCCTGCCTCAGCCTCCTGAGTAGCTGGGATTATAGGCACGCGCCACCATGCCCAGCTAATTTTTTGTATTTTTAGTAGAGACGGGGTTTCACCATGTTGACCAGGTTGGTCTCAATCTCTCGACCTTGTGATCCACCCGCCTTGGCCTCCCAAAGTGCTGGGATTACAGGCTTGAGCCACCGTGCCAGGCCTGTTTTAAGTTTCTATATGTTTTACGCTTTCTGTAACATTTAGATATCATTTTTAAAAAGTTTTAAATTGACATAACATAATTGATCATAGAAATCTGTTTCACCCTACCTTGATAATACTGAGTCCATGGATATAGAAGTTGTGGCCA